TTTCGAAATCGCTATAATTTGTTCAAATGAATCAAGCATCCGCTTTTAGTTTAGTGCATGCTCCTTCATATCCCCGTTGTCGGGAATAAATAGTCATGTTATTGCAAAAATCACAGAATAAAATGGAACACTTATTTCATCTTCTGGAGCAAAACACCGACTGCAATAATAAAGTACCACATCCGCATGAAAATACTTTCTGAGAACTCCAGTACCACTGCAGTTGTTCTGGTTCAGTCTCATTCACAGACTTTCCATTACGCTTCAAAGAAAACAAAATATATAATCTCATGGTATTCAACATAAGCTCAGGCCTCTATTTCGCTTTCTACAAATAGGCAGCAGATGCCATGACAGCCGGCATTGTTTGCAATAAAGAACAACTAAACCGTAAAATCTACGCCATTTCATGACACACAGCTACGCCTTAATAATAAACCCAGCTCGCTTGCATTTACCCCCCAAAAATGCAATAGACACAAATTTTTGCACCTGAAGTTTATCATTGTTGCTCCAAAATGTTAAAGCTAATCCGAATAGAAGGTCAGCATATCTGCCTGCTACAACTTATGACTGTCGCCTGGTAGCACAGAGTAGGAAGCAAAGGGCGCTATTCATCAAACATATATGACAGTTACATTCATTTACTATCTTACTGGAAACAAAACTAAAAATGTTTACCTACCAAACCTCCATTTTTCAGTTGCTGGTAACGAGCTAGTGCAGCAACGTGTGATAGCGGACCATTTGTATATAATATTCTTGGGATCTGTTCACTTTTCAAGTGTGATAGAGTCCTTTGCTTGGCCGATTAATGACGACGCCGTGTTTCTTTCGGGACGTACTGCATTAATTATTTAGTAAATCACGTGGCCGAATCAAGTATAAAAGGATACATAAAATCTTACCGGCTCTTCGGGACATTTGAGTTCACAAAATGCAAAAGTCGCTCACATTTTTTAAAAAAAACCTAAGGCCGGTAAATATGTTTTGAAATTTTAAGGGAAAAGACTAACAAATATGGCTGTTTAGAAGCGTTGGGCTGCATCAGCTTTGTCCCACTTTGAATGACCAGCCTATGGTATGGCCCTATCGACTCGTTACCTTTCTCTCAGTTATTTCTCTTTATAGACCAGAGGTGAGGCGGCAGGGCGGTATATACAGCAATACAACATGATAGTGGACATTATTAATTTAAGTTAAACTTTATGAAGATGTTTTAAGAACGAAGCTGTTTTAAAATTCTTTTCATAGTTCTGAGGAATAATTGATGAAAGGAAGATATAATATAAGGGTATTTGTGTCGACCATAATAAATGGACATGTATATTAACACATGCACGCGTCCATACGCATATTTTTAGAATACATAGGTGTACACAAAAAAACACGTTTGTATAAGTTTCGTGGGAAGGGACATGATATTCACATACATAAATATGCAAGCTGATTGATCGTGACTTGCATTATATGTGACATTATGAATTTTGAATAATACAACAGTTCAGAATCATGATGTTGTTGACTTTTATACCCTCTACTTTTTCCATGTTTTACGTTGTATCTTACGTGACAAATGATATAGTGAAAGAATTTGAGAATAATTACATATCTGGTCTTAAAACTTTGAATTATAAATAGTCACCAGTACTTGCATTAATACATGTTGCAGCATAGCTTAAATATTGATAAATTACATTGTTGAGTGAATGTGAGACGTTATTAATTGACCTTGGTGGGAACTGCGGTTAAATGTAGACTCTTTTTCAAGGAGAAAGGTGTTGCACAAAAGTCAAAGTCATACACTGCTTAGAGCTTCTTTTAATATCTATTTGTTCACACAATCTAGAGTGGAGCTTCAAAAAGGTAACCCTGTAACACATGCTGGTCATTAATCTCCAGTTATTGGGGTGGTTTGCATACAACGGATGTCCGTTTCAATGATTAAAGCACCTTTTTTTTTGCAATCCTAAAGAAGTTCGTTTAAAATATTGCACATCCCCTCCTCCCGAGTTGGTCGCATATTTCATCAATTGCAATAAGATCTCAGCAAATTAAACTTTTACACCAAATAATTTAGGTTCTTTGGGTGGGGGTGGGGGGGTGGGGGTGGTCGTTGGAAGGGTTCATATAAATAACATAAAATGAGATTGTAGATTATAATTCTAGCATTAACAGCGCCCAAACAGGAACACCTACACAATAGGGTGTTGTGTACACTCGGTCTCCAAGTGTGCCTCCTTTAATTAAAAAGATGAATAATGACCAAATTATGCGAATGTTACCCATAATCTGAATGTGAATTGATAATGTTTGAAAATGATTCTGAATTAGAGTGCCTTAAACCTGCTGCAATCGAAGTCTGTTAATGCATTTCTGAACCATTCATTTCGGGTGTAGTTTTTTTTTAACTGTATTTATTTTACCGTATAATTAAGAGGACGTGAACAGATTTCTCTTCGGCATTGGTAAACAACATCTGGCCCTGTTCGAAACAAATACCAGCAAACCCTTGCAACACCATTTAGAATATTCTGGAAAGCGCGCGGGAGAGCGCCCCCGATGCTAAATTTCAGAGCAATTTCGACCTAAATAATTCAACGGAGGTTTTTTTTTTGCGATGTTCAATGCAAATGCAAGAAGACGAGGAACGTCTTCGCTGCCCGTTTTCTGTATTGAACCGATAGAGCAACGGGGAAACAGGACCAGACTGAGTTGAAAATTAGCAAAGTTTGAAGTCGAGTAAATCAGCAACTTTTGACTTAACGGGGGCTCCGACAGCAAAGATTCAGCTCACAAGCAATGGAGGGAATGGGGTGCGTTTTTTTTCTTAGCTGGAGATGGGAGAGCGAGGAAAGTGGGTGCTGATTGGCACTGTGCTTCACACTCAAGACAGTTTGTCCTGCGAATTGGCCCAGAAGTTACAAGTTATAGAAAGTAGAACAGTTCATACGTGAGAAACTGCTTCAACTGGCTTCAGCTGGATGGTGTCTGTGTTAAAACACATAGAAAAGGCGAAGGGTAGGATTGAGTCCAAAAGGTCAAGGGTTTAGAGGTCAGTCCTCCCGGCTGAAATACAGCTAATCGAATAGAAAATTTGTCCTCTTGGTGAACCTGTTTCTGCAGTTTGCCCGAACTTCAGTAAAATACCTTTTCAGCTTCTCAACATGAAGGCGTCAGAAAAGGACATCTTCGCTATGCGTGAACCTTACCGCGGGTTTTGTACTGGAAACAATGATTTAAATGGGATGGAGAATATCACTCATTTATAATATCGCGACGTGGATATATTATAGTAATGTCATGTGCAAGTCTGAGAACTACACGGCAGACCCCACAAAGAACAAAGAATCGTGGGATTCGTCTTTTCACACAGACCATATCCAGCTAAGCCAGCTGCATGCTTGCAGGGCAAAGAAGGGACAGTGAAATAGCTAACTTTCTTTTGTTTCTGAACACTACGAAAAGGAGTTGAACATCGAAATTCTGAGCAAATACTGATTCTCCACTCGCATCTTGAGGGAATTTTGGCTTTGCCACAGAATTGCCGTGTGATTGCGAATAATTATTTCCTGGCTGCTGGTTTGGCTCGGTTTCCTTTTAGTGGATTAGATAACACATTAACACACGCCCCCCCCCAACCCCCCCACCCCCATCCCCCCCTTCCCCCCCCCTCCCCCACTCCCCCCCCCCCCCCCCCCCGACTTTATTCTCTTGTATTCATTTTCTGTAAATAATTTTAATAGTGCGGTCTATTTCAGGAAAAATGCTGTGCATACTTGCCAAAATACGTAGCCCCAACATTGTAGATTTATTAACCGTGTGAAGCAGGAAACTCGATATTTCCATTTATTTTGCACATGTTCTTTAACGTGTATGAAAAGAACCCTTTGTATATAATTACTGCTAAATACAACACTGGACAATTAAAGCTACCGTCTGCATTCTTTATCTATTTTATTGCATTGATAAATTATCAGTATTTTCGCCATTGTACCATCCAAAGATTGCAAATTGCCTCAAATAAATTGATACTAAATATACTGAGAAGGATTGTAAGCGAAAAATAGATGAATTAGGTATTTGGTTTATGGGGTTATGAGTATATTAAAACAGCAAATGCATACGGAGTGATATCATTGTGCTTTGCCCTTATAATACAGCGAACAATTTATACGTTTAAGGCATCTGGGTATCCTGCAGTGAGTGACCGTTTTAAAGCGGTACATAAAGCAACTGGGTACGAAATCCCCATTACATACCAATGTGCCACTGATTGATATCATGAGAATGTTGGCACATCACATTGAAGCTGTGCTAAGGAAGCTTTGATTCGTTTCTTCTGAGAGTAACACAACACTGGCTTCCCTAAAACAGACAAGATACAAGTATCTTCTAACAATCTGTGTTTAGGTGTAAATAACCCAATTGGGAAGCCTCTCTCTTTCTCTCTCTCTCTCTCTCTCGGCTATTGTCTTCTACCTCTGTAAATCAACCACCACTGCTCATTGCAGATAAATAGGCTGGAGAAACGAAAAGGCTTCTTCGCAAAACAAAATATCCAATGTGCAAACTGTTATCTGTTTTTTAAACCGTGTGACTGTCATATTGTTGTCCGCTCATCCGTTCTAGAAAAAAAAATCGAAAGGAAACACATTCCCACTTGTAATACTAAACGTTCACAGATTGGTGTAACCAGCTTACTCATTTATCAACCAATAAACCGAGAAACAGACTTTTAACAAGCGCCCTGAACACAAAGTACTGCTCTCAAGATTCAACGAGGTACATTTCCCTTTCAGGGGTCTTGTTTTGGATTGTATCAATAGCTTTCTTAAATATTTATTATTGAATTTCAGATCGCAAGAATTCTCGGCATTTGCTTTGTTAGTCTTAACGGTAATATATATGTGAGTTCTCTTCACGTTACAGCATAGACAATGATAACTATTCCCGAAATATCAATAAGGAAAACTAGTCAGGCTCTTCACATTGTTACTACTAAATTTATTTTTGAACTTTAGTAGTGCGTACGAATTTTGGTATCATTCTTTGAACATAAAAATGTATGCAATATTGCATCGTATACTTGTACAATAATCCATCCAGCAGCACAATAAGTATTACAAATATCATTTTTTTCTCGTCTTAAATAAAGAAACCACAGTCACAGTCTAATTCTCGATCACTATAAATCTCGAATATCAACACAATATACATAAAGAGATGGAATCGCAAAAATACAAATTACAAGCAAAAATAGTTGTGGGAACCAGAAATTGCCACAACAAATCACTGAGCCTTCATTGTAAAATAAAAAAAAGACCATGAACAAGCGTCGCAGCCTTTCCTTTTCATGCTAGCAGACTAGACATGTACCTTCCTGGAGTATTCGTCTCACCGTGTCCTCACCACTTAGTATGTATCACTTAATAAGGTTACTAAGGTGTGCTGTTTGGTAAGAATTCACAATGACAAGAGTCGCAATTATTTCAACAGCAGCTAAGGTGATGATCCATTTTGCTTCATTTTCTACATTAAAGAACATGGTGAACGGCATAAAATGAGGTTCTTTCAATTCCGTAGAATCAGCAGGAAAGCAACTACAAGCCATGATATCGGTACATGCAATTTCTGCCTGGAAATGTCATATAATATGTACACTCAGGGAGAGCCAATTCTATGATGTTCTTCTATAAACTTGTGAGATCTGTTTGCTGATCCTTGGACACAGTTTGTGACTGTTGGTTGGAAGCAGAAGAACTTGACGATCTGGTCTTAGTGTTTGGCAGTTTGTGGTCTTTTTTCCACTTCATCCTTCTGTTCTGAAACCAAATTTTGATCTGGCGCTCGGAAAGACATAAAGTGTGAGCTATTTCAATACGACGTCTCCTTGTCAGATACCTGTTAAAATGGAATTCCTTTTCCAGTTCTAAAACCTGCTGCCTTGTGTAGGCAGTTCGTGAACGTTTGGGTTCTCCTCCAGTGTAATTAGGATTCACTGAAAAACAAAATAGTTCACAAAAAAATATTCAAATCCGAACCTAAAGTTTGCCAGCTACTTCCACCATACAGTCCCTCCATTAAAATCTGCACGCTCCACTGTCACAGAATATCTGGGAGAAGTTTAAAATGTATTATTACTGAAGCTTAACTTTAAAGTTCTTTCAAAATCTGACTTATAACATGTTCCTGTTACTCCCAGGTTCGAGTTTTCACACAGAGCCAACCACATGGCCAGCGGCCTATTTCCTCAGCAATAAAAATTTATGATGGGTGTAATTGCGGGTCTCTTTTTTTATAAAAAAACCGCTCATAAATCCTCTTTTTGGAGGAGTTATTTACGATAGACCGAAACCAACGGGGTCGCACGCATTTGCCAGGGGTGGCGAGGTAACGGGCAAAGCGCAGACACACACACACACACACACACACACAAAAAAAAAGTGGATCTTACCGTTGTTAACGTGGATTTTCTTCATCCAAGGATAAACCACTGCTGGTTGTTTAGTTGCTGTGCCGTTTTGGTTCCTGGCATTGTGTTGCTGTTGGTTGCAAGGCCGGGCTGTGGAGACCTGGAGCGGTGCGCCGGCTTCTGGTTGCCCCGGGAGGGGGATCTGATGAGCGGGCTGTGCCTGCACATGACCCCTTTGCTGCACTGGAGAGCCCCGAGCGTTGCTGCAGCTGTAGGACTGGCCGCTGTAGTTTGACCGTGGATAGATTCCTTGGTGCTGAAAATCAGAGTCCTGCGACTGGCTGTAATACTCTGAGTGGTCAGGTATGTAGTTGTTTTGCGAGTATTCCTCGCAAGGAGGAAATTTGGGATCCACATATTTAGAGTTCATCAAATACGAACTCATGGTCATTAATTTCTGAAGGTGGAAAATACTAATTTTTCTCGAGTTGTCTTTTTTCCCGTTCCATAAAGCCCTCCTACTTGCTGTCAACTGAATAAAGTTAGTCACCCATGTGACTGTGGGAGCCAATGGTTTGGTTCAACCCGATTCCCGGATAAGGAAACAGCTAATGACAAATTTTCACAAACTTCGTCCCGAAAACCTTGAATTTTGATCCTAAATCCCGCAACATCTTTTTGTTGTTTTTTTTTTTGCGCGGCAAGTGCACTCATATTTAAAGTAGTTTCGGGAAAATAAACGCTTAAAAGGCCGTTTCTAGTTGCAGAGAATGGGCATCAACCCATTGAGCGCCCGAATATTGCTCAGGTAATTCGCTGTTTTGTGCAAGAGCATTTTCCACCATCTCCTTTGGCCCTTTTTCACACGAATAAAGGATGGTAAACACTGGATTGATTTCTGAAAAAAATATGTGTTGTCTTCTTCCGAGAGGAGCATGACAATAGAGAGGGTACTTGGGAGACACCAGGCACACAGAGTGACAAAGGAAACATCCCGTTAGCCCCAAATAAAATGGAATAACAGAGTTGAGGGTAATAATTAAAGGCTGTTACAGACGAGAGAGTGTCTTTTGGGCAAAGATATTCAAAGACAACATGGTGTACTCCCACTGAAGCGAGAACAAGGCATTCACGCAGGGCATTTTTTTACACGTGTTGCTTGAGGACATTGTAAGGTCAAAACTGATTCAGTCTGAAAGTTTACTAATTCCGGATCGTGGAACACAGAGGTTTCTCGTCTTATTACCTTGTTGCATTAGGAAATATTTATTGGTCGAATCTGTAGGAACTGGCGTCAGCGAAATTCTTATTTTACATCTTTCTCATCTCAGCACATCTCGTGTTTTTTTTAAAAACCAAACGCAGCAATGCTGTTTTCATATTATACTGTATTTTATTTTGATATGTACAATTTATTTTTTTAAAAAATGAAAGCTTTTTAATAAACAACGCATTCGGTTCGATTTAATTCGAGAGCATCGCAATTGCAACAAGCGCGGTGTAAAACTGTGAGCGAATATCTTTGTAGATAAGGAATTGTCATCGTCATGGAGACGAGCAACATTCAGAAAGAAATACTTAAGTCTCTGCAATATTATGTTTACCGGCGAGAAAATACGCAAGATTAAAAGTAATACAGCATGTTTAGCATCATATTTAGGGTGAAACGAGAGCAGATATTAGCCTTTTCTGTTAGCAGGTAGATTTGATGGTTTTCTATCTAATATTAATGACTGGTCGAAATATGAAAATAGGCCATCGCCAATTATGTAGCTCTGTGTTACTTAGACCTAAATTAATCTAGACAGAAAAAGCCACCGAATTTCTAATTTTCGTAGTGTTTGCATCGACCATATACTCCCCTAAAAACGAATCTGTGACCGAAACATCACACAAATTCGGTTCTACAGGGTATATATAGACGACGGATTACAAATTAATTCGATGCATTATGTACAGGATAGAAAAATCCGATTTCAGCAGATTCAGCAACAAGCAGTCTCTCGGGGGTTAATCACGTGTATTATTTACAAACAAGAAAGATAGTGTTCAAGAGAAGCTGCTTTCACATAACACTGGTGTTCATCAGTACAAAAAATATAAGTAGTTTCCTACTATATAGGTGGCTGCAAACAGTTATATTTCAATTGTTTCGGCAGCAGCAGAACATGAAGCAGCGTGCAGAGCTGGGTTGTACATGCAGTCAACAAGCCAGAAGTTGCCAGTTGTTACTGTGTTTATAAATCCTTCGTATTTCAGCTAGGTTTTATAGCAGAGACAGTTTGTAGTGATCCGCTTCAGCTAACATTACTAAGTGCCCCAGCATGACTCAATAATTGCTCCAGATGCTAATAATTTGAACCCACCACTAGCAAACCGCAGGATGTTTTTAATAAATATCGCCTTGGTCTAAATAATTCGTAAAGCTCATCAAATGCAACTGATACAAAATTGCACAAATATTGGTTTTTCGGAATGGTTTTAAAGTCATTAACGATATCCTTAAACTCATAGCAGCTCAGGATGATAACGTTTGTTTGTTTGTTTCGTTCTCGTATGATCCACTTCTAAGAAGCTGGATCAGCTGATAATGCTCACTGTTCGCTTGAAACCCTGTGAGATCGCAACCAAACCCACTCTAGTCTCATACATAAAAAAGGCACAATGCAATCTGCCACCTAACCAGCACTGCTCTGCCTGAAACATGTCGACTTGATCTAAGGACAAGGTGGTGACTAAACTCTAATGCATTGCAGGTTCTTCACTTTCATTTGTTCCCAATGTCCCTGCAGTGCCCACGCGTTGTGGGTTTAAAATACTGAAGGGCAAGGGGTTGGGGGGTGGGGGGGGAGGGGGTGTTTAGGCTGAAATCATTTACAAACACATCGGAAAGTTTCATTATTATTTGCAATTTAGCTACCGTCGCACTTATGACCTTCTGTAAGTCTATTGAGCCTTCTCGAACTAACTGTTCTGCCGAGAACCACAACGGTTGTGTCTGTATCTTGCCAGTTACACAATCATGAAACACAAGAGGCAGCCTGAGATCTATTATAAGCCTCGCCAAACGAAATGGATTAAGTGTGTTTCACAATACACAGATCTTATTAAAATGTAAACTGTTTGATCTCGGTGGATGCACAGTGTAACGTTAGGACTGGCCTGTTCCACCCTGAACTGCATTTATGCTCCTCATTGATTTCTGTGTCTTGTTTTCTCTGCTATACAAAAGACAAAGGTCCCAGTTAAACTGAGTTTTATTACAGAGCAGCTGAACTGTTCCTCTACAACTCGTCACGTCTATATATTTTAGCCTTTTAACACCCCAAGCATTTACGTTTAATCATTCTACGTTCGTCAAAATCCATAACGTCCGCAAAAGTTTGATCTTATTTACCTGTGGATTTTTTTTTCGTTTACCCAGAGCATTAAGAAAGAAATGAGCTTTGAATAGCTTTCGACAAACGATGGCGCCAACGAAAGCAGTAGGCAATACTGCTACTTCTTTCTGCCTTTAAAACCTTAATTGCAAACAATATGCCCAGATACTGTAACATTATCCGATAATTCCAGGTCCAAATTTCCTTACATTTCCAATTATTTCACATTTGCGGAGCCAATTGCTGCTGCACATTTCAATATTTGTTAGACGCTGTGACCTGTATTTCACCTTACTGCTCGACTCGTTCAGACAGGTCAATGCCAAAGAGTTATTGATGAACAAACCCCATTAAAATTCACCTCTTTTTTTTCAACTGCCCACACAAACGCTGCAACTTTTGATCTAGCACATTTTGCCCAAGAGAATGTCAGCGGAAAATAAACGTTTGAGAAGCGAAACCCATATTTATTCATTGATTGGAGGATTCAATGAAAACCATTAAGAGTCAACAGTCTGCCGAAATAAGTGTTGTCCTATATATATATCACTACAGCGATTTAAAAAAAAAGCAAAACTGAAATCCTTGAAAGTTCACTTTTCTAGTGACCCAGAAAAGCTATTTTCCTGCAGAAGTCAGCTCTAGATAAGGCAAGAACTGTTTTCTTTTCAATCTCAATTTCCCTTTATGATTTATCAACGCACATTTGTAGGGCTTGAGGGAGAAACGGAGGGTGCAAGGTGCTGCCATGTTGCCTCATGAATACCGGTTAAACATTCTGTGGATCTATTTAAAGTGAGCCCTCGATGTTTGCTATTTTGCTCTCCTGACATAATTACGCCGCTATGTGGAGAGAGACCGTTCCGAATATTGTGCCAGAGATGAATTCGCTGCAAGTGGTTTGCGACTGTGGTGTTTCTAAGCGTGATCGAACCGTTTGGAGTGGCGAGCAAATAGTCAACTTCAGATGAATGAAGAGAAAACAAATATCGTGTCTGACATAGAGAGTTTAGAATCTAAAAACGTGCATTGCTGGTTTGGTAATATCTGCATTACTCATGTTATTTGTGGGCCTGTTGAAAACAAGGGGATTGAACCTTTTCTAAGGCGCAAGATGCATTCTGTTTTTACTGGTGTGTTGTTTTGATCGTTTCCCCTCGACTGTACTTGTTTAAAAAAAATAACGGTGTGAAATGATCTTCGTGAGCCGATTGGCAATTTTTTTTTCTTTGTTTCCAACGTAATAAACGATACGAAGCTATTCGGGGTGGGGTGGGGGGTGGGGGAGGGGGGGGGGGGGTGGTATTCTGACACCACTAAGTTTGCATTTAAAATAAACGAAACTTTACAATGAGTAACATATGTTTTAGTGCCAAATTATTCGACTCACCGGTGGACTTCAAACGAAGTAAGGTGAAATTGTAAATTGTACAAGTACCCAAAAATAGCAAAAGAAAAAGAACCCCGTGTGATAAATTAAAGGAATATTGACCTTTCGCTCAGCCAGTCAGAAGGCTTAATGTTTGGCCTATACGTTTCCAGAAGTTGTGGAATCTGAAAAGCCTTAATCTCCATCATTTACTTTCCCTGCATCTGTGTTCACGTCTCAAGATTTCTCTTCAAATATCTGTTCCTATCGTTGTCACTCGATTCATTTTTTTTTTGCAGATGTTATGGAAACCGGAACAATAACTTTGTTCCAAATGCCCTTTAAGGAGAATGCACCCTTGCACTGGGAGGCGCTGTGTTGTGTTGCCAGCTGAGGTCGTACAAACACGGCCACGTCTGACTAGGTGGATCTATGTGGTCAAAGTTAACTAGAGTTAGTTGTAAGAAATATTTTAACTGAAAGTACTCATGTATGGGATTTCCGTTTCTTTTAGAAAGAATGAAAGTAACAACACTCTTCATTCATCTGGCCTCATAAGTTAAACCTGAACATCGCAAAGCATTAAATAACATAACGATAATAATTATTAAAGTCATTCTAGGATTCAGACTGCCAGGCCCTAAAGCCAGCAGGTCACCAATTCTGTACTGTATCTCCCACGAACATTGCATTGCAAACAACCATCCACTTCAATTATCCCACAGATCACTGAGTAAAAACAAATGATTACTTACTGTAACGCCTCCTCCATACTGCCAGATCTGCAGTAAAATAAAATCGAAATTAGGTTCAAAAGTCCAGACTGAAGTACAGCACCAACTGAGACGTAAAATTCAGTTTAGAATACAGGGATCCAGATGGATCATTCTCTTGTAAGCGAATATTATAGCAGCTTAAACATTGTTCACTTTATAAAATTTCAGGTAAAACTTTTTTCATAATTGCATTTTGGAAACTTTTCTTGGGTGATGAGTAGCTTATGGTGACAGAACAATGTGGAACTATAGTCTTCACACCAAGGTAATTCGGTCATGTGGCGATTTATACCGTTTTCCTGGTTCTTGGGGGAGTAAACAATATTGCTTACTTTATAAAAAGAGCAATCCTATACAATATTATGACTCCAACCTCTATATTTTTTTGTTTTTTAGGGCATTTCGAATCCGCGTTTGAATTATCCTGACCCGAAATTGAGTTTAGCATTCTACAGTTTGGTCTCTATTTGTTGGCCAATCTGACCCTCAATTGAACTTTTAAAAGAATCCGTTAGTTTATGCTGAGGTTATCAGGACAAATCTCTGAATAAAATATCGATTTGTAATGATCGGGTACATAAAAATCGACCCTACGCCAAAGCTAAACGCGTCTAATTTTTTCCCATGTACTCGGTCAATCTTATGTTGATGTGCTCTGTTTCTTTTTCTTACCAATTCTAGTTTTACTCAGAATTTATAGCACGAAAGTCTTTCATCCTGCTCGACGCTTTACCTCGTCGACGTCGAAGATTTTCGAATTATTCATATCTTATTTTGGTTTTTTTTGAATAACTAAAGGTGTGCTGCTCTTGAAAGATTCAATCGCCCGAAAGTTAGTTCAAAGAGTCGCAATGTGCCAAGTCGTGTATTAAAAGTAAATTTGGTTTGTTGCAGAACTCCCCATATCTTCTGGCTTTGGTTTAAACAATGTTAATTCCATGCAGTATTTAGACCTACTTGTGTTTGATATGTATTAACTCAGACGGTGTTTTTTGCGCTGAATAGACTATTCTCGGAGCTCACTGTTGTACTGTTTATGAGTTCCCAGCCTTCGCTTTCTCTTTGATGCTGCCATGTCAGATTAGGCACATTTTATGTTACCTTTATGTGGGGAATGTCACGGTGTAATATTTTTTTTTAGATTTCCATTCCTACGAATCACTGACGGCGAATGCAAAACAATCGGTGAGAACGTTTGACAATTCATTACAGTTGCTTGCAGTAAGTTAATAAACTGAACAGATATTTAAATAAGATGTAGATTAAACGTCAATTTTTGTAGCACTTTCTCAATTGTTCTGTATTATCAGCCCGAGTTCTTAGAATATAATCGATCATAAACCCTGAAGGCTCCACGCAAAACAAGAACATCAACAATTAAAAAGCATCTTAAAAATAGTATGTAACCTGGAGAAAATAATAACAAGGGTCGACGCCGGTGCTTTACTGTTCTCCTCGGGATTAATGTCTAAATAATTAAGCATTATTACACTGAATCTATATTATACTTCGTGTTTGACTTGGAACATTTACTTTGCTTCCCCGCCCCCTATCTGAATTTTGAAATTAACTTTTAAAATTTAGAATTGCATGTTTACACAGAATGACAGCCGTTTGTTTCTTTTCGGTATCAATTCAGTGAGGAACTCTTCTTAAAGAGTCAGATAAAATGCAATATCTGTGTTTTTTTTAAATAAAGTGCTTAACCTATCAGATCAAATCTGCAATATCAGTTCACTGGTGTAATTCCTTCAGGTTAACATTTAAACGCAAATATAGCTCGCGATCTTACTTAGGATAGCACATTTGCAGTGTCACATCCAAGTATAGCAACACATTTGCAGTCGTGTTTACTTAAGAGTATGAGAACATCATTTTCAGAACTGAAGTCTCTTTCACGTTCATCTACTTATTTAAGCTTGTACTGACGTTGTACTATATTTTCTCCTGGTGGGATTTTCTTGGCTTTGCCCAAGAGACAGAACATGCGCCCAAGAGCCCGAATGACATCAGGTGTCACGCGTTCTGTAGCCTTATTCAGATTAGAAAGAACTTACTTGCTGCTTTTCCAGTACAAAGGTAAAAAGACACCAGGACAGTACCAATCCATAGCGGGCGAACAGGACAGCTTGCTTCTTGGTGTGACTTTCCACAGACCCTCTCGAAAACACTAACCATCTGCACTTGTCTGCTCTTAACCTAATATATGATGTGAATTATATTTTGGCTTGTCAACTCCCCTAACCATAAAACAAAGTTTAATGGCATCACGTGCCCCTCCACAGCCAGTCAGAACGTTGCTCTGTGGCGTCCATATAAATAACCCTTAAACTTTTAAACTTTTATTCACTAAAAGCAGCCATGTCACTGAAAAGTTCTCTCAGTAATAAAAAAAAAGCTAAGCATCTGAGCACCTGGAGGACTGCGTGCCTTGCAGGATAAGTTACGTTCAAGTTGCAACTTATTCCTGGTATCTCTTGCACAACTCAAAGGACCTATTGGACCTGGTAAGTGTAAATACACCACATGTATATTTGACCACTACCTTTTGAGCCACAGCCAAATCAGTAACCGAGGATGGAACCCACTTTCTGTTTATCTGTCCTGCCTTCTTAGTGAGCCGGCTTCTCGTATTTGTCTCTTCACCAAACCGTATTAGTGTTTACTGTCGGCTAGAAAAACCTGTCTACAGTTAACTTGATAGTTCTTTCAATGTAATGGAAACTTAAAAAGATTTGTTCGTAAAGTTCATCGATCTTCCAAGCACATCCGACGAGAATGTTTTAATGAGATAAACCATGCTCAAACGTGTCTTGCGTTGGACACTTTATTGGGTTAGGTTTTAAACGTCAACTGATGGCTGTAGTTAAGGTACACCAATACCTAAATAAGAATATATGTTCTATGAAGACATTATTGAAATAAGCATCAATTCAGCCAAAACGTCTGGCCAAAAATAATAGAAGTATTTTAACTTCAACGTGCAAAGAAGGCTCATTTCAAGGAAATGTTTTGATTTCTGAAACATAGCGACAAGTTATGAAAGAGTTTTGGTAGCAGATGAGAGGGGTGAGAGTATCAATGTGACAACGTATTTGGTTTCTTCACAAGGAACCAATTGATAGTCCAATCATATAGCTGGTTGCAACTAAACGAAACACCAGGTGAACTATTTATTGTTAAAACCGTTTTTATTTCAACCTTGTAGACAAAACACCACTCCTTTCATTTACATTAGATATTGGTAGACATTTAAACATGTTATGTACAGAATATACATGACAAAATATACCTGGGACCACAGCGACACTGGTGCCATCAGCATTCCAAGCAATAATAAGAAAATCGCATTTAATGTAGAAACAAAGTACAACATTTCTGATCTAGGTTTTACAAAATATTATTAAATTATACACTTAGCGAAGCTATTATCCTACATAGGATCTGCTTGTACAGCAACAAAATATACAACACATATTTACCCCATTTTTAGAGACAAATGTCTTACATCACAACTGCTGACCACTCTTTTCTTCTCTCTCCCTCCCACATCTCGAATTTAAGCGTGGATGTTTTAAATATGAAATAAAACCATCGCTAATATTTGTCGGAGACCATGGATTAGTTCTACACGGATTATTTTCTGTACGTACTGGTGACCAGTACATGGGAGGTGGATACCAAGCTATTACCAAAGTCCGAATAGAAGCACTCCATTCAATACTTGCCCAACCAACCTTTCTTATTGCAAATGAAGAGATCACCTAAATAATAATATTAACATAGCCAGTTGTGTGAAACAGCTAAGGCTGAAACCCTCCTCCTGGAGGGGTGATACTTATGCTTTTCAATTTGTTGTCCTTTTTCCATTTCATTCTTCGGTTCTGAAACCAGATTTTAATTTGTCTTTCAGTCAAGCACAGGGCATGAGCGATTTCTATCCGCCGGCGTCGTGTAAGGTATCTGTTATAATGAAATTCTTTTTCTAGCTCCAGAGTCTGGTAACGGGTATAAGCCGTCCTGGTTCTTTTTCCTTCTGTTCCACCTAAGCCTTCTTAAGGGAAGGTTAAAGACATATTACATATAGGTATCGGCACAATCCCATTGTGAAATTCCATGCTTTTCAGAGGTAGATTCAAATCATCAAATGCATTAAAATAGATTAGAATAACAATGACAAATATTTATCTTCCAAGAATTTTAAACTTGTCCCCAAAAAGAAAACGGCGTGTTGCGTAACATTGACATACCTGACAGGTTTATATTCAGAAATGATCTATCCCCGTTATATGTAATTTTACATGATGGTCTTAAATTTTGTTCACTGGATTATGTTTTCCCCTGGATCCACAATAGATTTCATCGACATGAACAGATATGTCAGTATCACGGAGCAGAATGTTGCCAGAGAGCATACCTTGGTTAAGGTGCAGCTTTCTCATCCATGGGTATATTTGCGTCTGATGTGCTTGGTCCTGCGCTAGTTGTCCAGTTTCTGGTTTGGGACTGCTGGTCTCCTCAGGATGCTTATCGGTGACAGGCGATGGGTCTTGGCTACAGCTGTGTCTGGACTCTGTGATAGTAGCCCCAGTCTTAGCCCTGCTAGTTGGGCTTGGTGAGGATCCCGAGAAGAATGCAGTGTCAGAAGACTTATTTTTCGCACCAGATGAGCTAAGGAAAGTGTTGCTGGCTGTTTGTAAGTAGTTGGCAGACCTTTCAGTGTCTCCACACTGATTTGAGTTAGAACGTGTGATGCTGAGGTCTACCCCGGTGTAATCGTAAGCATACCTGGTGGAGAGCACCGCTGGTTCTCCGAAATGCTCGCCCAAAGGGGAAGCATTTCCATAATTCTGCAACTGATACTCGTGGCCATTTTGATAGCGACCTGAGAAGGAGTTTAGAAAGTAGGAACTCATCTGCCTTTTAGGGGGGTTTGATTTGTGGTTCTTAGACGTTTATTCGCCACTAGACTGCACGATATATAATGAAATATGGAAATAAAGGACATGTCATTTCTCTGCCTCCTACGTAGGCAACCAAATATGGGGCACAAGTTTAGATCACGTGAATTTGTTGACCAGTCGTAAATTCTTGTGCCTGACCCTGGGGGTAATTCATGCAGTGAGAATACGCTCTGTGATTCTGCCAGACTTGTCCAATAGCGCCTCCTGCTGATATATACGCGGAAAGCCAGGCGCACAGCAGCAAAACAGAGTCGCAGGAAGGTTTTAACGTTAAACGTCCACCGTTTCCGAAATAGNAAAAAAAAGTCATTTCGAAGCGCTTTACGATATGAGAAAAATAATGAGCGGTTGTAAAAAACGACTTTTTAATGATCCGAAATGAGTTGTGTTGTACCTATCGAAGTTCTTGGGGACTGTGTGCGTAAAATGCTTCTCCAAAATATGGATGTTTTGTTGTTTTGTTCGCAAATATATAGATGTAAATAATAAATAAATTAAATAAATAAATAAATAAATAAATACAGGCGCAGTTTTCAAACTGACAAACGTTTCATGTATGTTTGCGCTGTTAGACAGCATCTCACCCTCTAAAAAAATAATTGGTTGCTTTTATTTTAGTGCTTAATTTAATATGGTGTGGAAAAACTTTGCGTGTGTTGTGGGGGATGTTGGCCACTTAAATTAGAACCAATTTGTTTTGTATCTAATGCACGCGGTAACGTAGTTTAATATTGATTTTAATCATTTCATTATGTGCGAAGCACCCGGACAATGTGTAGACTATATTTTTTTGTCCAATTCAGTTTTTTTAAACTCCTAATTTCTAGTTTGTTAGATTTCTCCTGTGGGGGGGGTCCTACAATTGTTTTTTTAAGAAAATAATAATAATTTAAACTAACATTTTTTATAAGGCACTCCCACCCTTCCGCCCAACACACCCGCACACACACATTGCAAGTCGCTAAAGATTACCACACGGCTCCGGTTACTCACATTTTTATATTTTCGCAAAACATCAACGATGCGGTAAATTACACGGTATTCCGCTTTACAAATTGTAAAATAATCGTTGGAACGAATTTTTTTTGAAAAAAAAAGACGCCTTAAAAAATGACAAATTCCCCACCACTGTTTACCGTTTCTTACCCCCACTAAGTCACAAGTATGTGGTTATGGCAGCAAATACTGTGCTGGAAACAGAGAAATCGTACGCCTTGCGTTTTGTCTGGTTCAGCCAATAACTCGTTTGGAGTATCGCCTGTGTGCAATGTTTCGACGGGTTAACTACTGGCGTAGAGGTAAAGTGCATTAAACTTTATTGTCGGTTTGTATAGTACAGCCTACATCATGAATTGCATTCTGACCGGTGCTGTTATTTACGATTGTGCTCTCTGGTCTGAGATAATCTCCAAATGTGCGCGGTGAAACCATTCCTAAAATTAATCTTTGCAGAAAACAGGCCCGTAAATTAGTTGTCCAATTCATATAAATTTCCAAAACGAATGATATACTCGAAGCATTATACGATGTGGTTCGCATCCTGTGAAAAGGCTGGCGTTTTCCAGGCTCGGTTTCGTTGCAGCATTCAGTTAACAACTGGAACCGGTTCAGACTGCGGAAATGCAGAAACCTCGTAAGAACGATAATTGTAATATTTAAACAAGGTTTTGATTTTGCTGTGTAAAATGTTTGATCGATAGGCGAATTATAAATACTGGTTTGTAATATAGAACATCACAACGAGCAGTGTGTGTGTGTGTGTGTGTGTGTGTGTTGGGGGGAAGGGTAATTCTCTGAAGCAATGCAATGGGTCAGGCCTCCGTTTAACTTTTTAAAATAAATCCGTGAGGACTGCCAAATGTCACAGAATTAATTCTATTTGCACGTAATTATCTGATTGTGACAAAATGAACCACTTTTCATGAGCAGATGTCACCTGCAACTTAAATTCTACTGTAACGAGCAATTTTCCTTTGTATATCGATTAATTCGTCCTATTCACTTTTTTTACGCGTTACTTGATCGCCCCTTTCCCTTCATTTCGGGTTTGAAAACATATTTGACGGAAATACTGTACCCGGAAATGAATACATAAAATACTAGAATAGATTTGTCCTCTCCTTTCAGTGCGTGGTAATGAAAGTATTTGTCTACACGCATTCTCCGTTGTCTGTATATACCGTATTAATATATTACCAAGACATTCAAAAGCAGGAAAGTGAAACTAATGCAAAACAATTCAAACCATGCCTTACTCCAAGGACAATGTTACAACTTTAAAAATAGGCACTGAAGTCATCCATTAGCAGCACAGGATGTGGAACCTCTGCTGTAAGTTAGCACACCATGTTTGTGTTATCCGCCGGTTTCAGCGCTGCATTTCTTATGCGTATGTCCAACTGTGCCTCGCATCAGGTCAAATAGAGGAGAAAATGTCTACACCCTATGGCTCGCTATAATAATGGTAACCGGAGCAAATGTATATTTAGCTGAACATATTTTAGATTGGTTGGGCGTTTACGCAGGGAACTATTCTATTTATTCTCTCTGGACCTGAATACACATGCCAGGTTCTCAGCTGTCAAGCGAGATATACCGCTTTCCCGAGTGTACAGTTTGCCTATGTGTTCCAATCGTGGAAAATCCAACGGTGAACGCAAACATCGTCCAAATTGTTGTATCTAACGGCGAGTGGAATTGGTTTCATACAGTCCTCCCGACCGAGTGCGTCTAACGCTCATAAATCTAACCTTGTCGCAGGCGCCTGTCTGACAGTCGATGGAAGAAATACTGTCTTTGTCCTGTACTAACTGCTCCAGTCGGCTCTTACCAAACAGTCGGTTTAATACAGCAGAGTGGGGTGGAAAATAAAGTCAGGCTTCTAGACTAGTGCCCCCTATGAGGCTGAGACTTTGCTCGGCCTGTCTGTGCACTGTATTACATGCATAACAAGGGACAAATGGGAATTATCGTGTGCGACAGACGAATTAAAATGTTGATTTTTTCGCTTTGCAGTGAAATCAGCTTTGGAGTTTTGGGAGAACGTCGCCGTATCTGGAAATGCATCGGTTCATCAAAAGAGTGAGCTCAACCTCTTTGGACGAAGTTGTTTTTTTTTTGGACTCGCATTGGATAATTCTCATCCAACTACAGATTAAATCAATCGAGGACTTTGTCGGCGTGAGATTAACATCACATTGAAATTATCATTTTTTTTAATGGCGTAAATGTAGCGAATCTTAACATCTAAGATTTTTCGTCTCCGATGCCACACTTTGAGATCCAGTCAAATGTTCCTGACTGCATTAATTATGATTTATTGTATCTTGTTTTTGGAAGCTGGGATTCAAACGATAGTGTTGTTGGAATTATTATGTGAAATAACTCTTCAGAGCAAGACTTTGAAAACCGGGCCAATAAAAATCTCCCACAAACTGTAAATTCCCACAGACAGAGCAGAGTTTATTTGATCGAAAATGCTCGTGTCCCGATTTCATTGACCATCGGTTAAAAAACAGAAAATATTTTTTTCCATTTGTCTTTTCCTTTAATCCTCCGTCATTCTACCACTCGGTCTTGATCAAGATCAAGGCATCGACGAAATTACAATCAGTCTTTGCTTCAGAAAGTTCAAGACTGTATGGCTAAAAGATATTTAGGCATCACATAGTTCGACAGAACCATCTTTGATTTACCTTCAAATATATTTCAATCAGATACGAACCTCGTCTGGTATTTCTAATTGGCATTAAAAATATCGAGCAGTAGTAATAATAATTCCTATATACTGAAGGAATGTATGTATTTTATCAATATATTTTGTATTATATTATATGTTTGGTATATATTCCAATTGATCTCAATAAATTACATGAAATTCAACCTAAAATTGAATTTAGTAGCTCACGTTTGCATTTTTTCACATTGCGAGAATCGGAATATTTAATCTTTGCTTTGCTAAAAATATCTAATTTCTATCGACGTGCTTACCATTTGATATTGAGGAGTGTCTGAACCTAAGAGGGTGTAGTTTCAATTTATACTATTTATAAAACATGTGTATGATTACAGGAATATTTTATTTTACGGTTTTCAAAAAAAAACGTGTGCGCTGATTACAAAATAACCTGTGCTTTATTTCCATAAGGCAAGCAAATTAAACGCACAGGCTAATTAAATGCATTATTGTTAATGTACACATAAACGCTGGCTGTTAGCCACGCCTTAGTCTTTTGATATCACGATGGTTGCACGTATGTCTGCTGCAAGATTAATCTTATTTTTACCCTAATGTAAAATGGAATCATTGCAGATTGGTGTCCAGTTTACAATCACATTAACCCCAAAATGTTCCAGACAGAATATCTCTTATTCGAGTCATAAATTAAGGGAGAAAAAAATAGATAAACAACTCCACTCAAAAAGTATCTAACGACCAGAAATGCAAAAACGGACTTGCCAAAAATATATAAACAACAGCAGTGATATTTATAAACGTTAAATTCAGCGCATGTCTTTAGTTTGCGCATTTTCTTTAAAAAGATAAATCCAACAATGCGGACTAATAGTTAACCTGATTGGTGCATGAGAGACCTTGTTGTTTTAGTATCACTTTACTTCGTCTTTGTATTGTAAACGTTGTAAAAACAGTGTTCGGCTTGCCTGCATCTGACCCAAACACATTGTTCCAAAAGGCTGGAGAGCCCCATGTTTTGTCTCACAACAATTTTCCTGTACCAGCTACAGCATTTTTTGTTTTGCAGACGAGAAAAACCGGGCACAGATGAAGGAAGGGACGGATTGATATCATCTGCAGCTCTGACGAAGTGCGCAGTGTCATAAACCTTCACAGAATCCAGCGCTGGGTGCAGGCAAACTGCAGCCATAATAACCTGAATGCGACTGCTGGATAATCATTGCATAAATGACCTCTCTGTGTGCAGGCTAATGTCACGTGGTAAATTATAACACTGTAATTGAAAATATTATCCGAAGGTTTACCCAGAAACCAAGCATTTCTTCTCACAACACACTGCAGCATCGCCTTACTCTTTTGCACAAGCGCTCGGAACAAGTTGCCGCCATTCATGTTTGTGTGTATTTTCCCTGGACAACGCACATGTACAGCCGAGTTAAGGTCACCTCCTGCGCAATGCTACCAGTAGAAAACCAAACATTTCTGAGGAGGCAATAAACACTGAAGATGGAATACACAGACAGCTCACTGGACGGGATTGACACAAATAGGAACAACAGTCATAATAAAGGAACCGGTTAAACCTCTGATACAGAGCATTGTTCATTATCAGCCAAAGTACAAGCTGTGTCGGCAAAGCTTAAAGCCTATCATTAAAAAAAACCAAGCACAAATCCCAACTCCTTTTCTTACAAATAAATATTGAAACATTAAAAAAAAAGCATTTAACACGATTCCCGCTATTTGGATTCAATCAATTCCCCAGACTAATCCGAAAAAAGGCTCCTTTATTGTTCGTTCATTTGCTGCCCGACATTTCTCGCCTTAACCGCTTAGAACCCATCCAATGAAACAAACATCGCCCACTTCTATGTTCGCTAGTGCCATCTGCAATCATAAAAATGGGGAAAGAACATCACTTACCCATTTCAGGGCTTTTCCCTGAGATCGAAACCAGGCGAATTTTGTATTCCATTGGTACTCTTCGATCAATAAGGCAATTGGAAAGAAAAATCAGGTAAGGTGAATGAAAAAGGCAATGGAAAGACTGTAAGCAGACATCAAATGTCGGCGAAAGTCCAAAACATGAAGTCGAATGACTTGCACACAGTTATAGAGCAACAGCACTGGACACCGAGATGCTGCGGAAAGTAGTCTTGTTTCTGTGAGGAACTGGCGTCAGATACCAACCACAAAAAGCAAGCTAAGAGAGATACTGACAGAAAGGACGGTTTGAGACGAGTTAGCAGCGGAATGCAGTGAAATATTCGCAAGGGAAATCAAGAAAAGGCCATGAACGCAGTTACTAGATTCACATGACTATTGGTGGCCAATGGGAGCGTCTCCTCAGTCGTAAAAGGTCCATTGCAAAGTTGTAAATTTTCTTCAAACAAAAAGGAATTCGCAGCAATTCCTTGCGGGTTTCGCAAGTAACAGCTCGCAAGAGCCATGTTTCATTTAACGAGTTTCTTTGCCGCAGCCATTTGTTGTAATGAGTTCTGGTAACGAACACCTTAAACCGCAATAGCGATGCAATTCAATCCATATCGTCGATTTTACCCCCAAACTGCCCAGATGGGCCATGGGCATGTCACAACACGCATTTTGTTATGACTTGGCTTATATCCGTGTTTTAAATAAGTGTCAATTTTAAACATACACATGTATATTTTAAAAAAAGTCCCATGATTAATTCAAACCGCAGCATTTATGAAACGTAATGCTGTCAGAAGGTTTGTTTTATTGCATACTCATATTCGATGAGGTTGGCTTAGGTTAGGCTGAGACGAGGCAGAGGTAAGCTAGTTTGAGCAACAGAATAATATCCCAAACGTAAGGGAAAATGGTCTTTATGAGAGAGAAAAAACAATAGACAAGAAACGCGAAGCGTCAGCGATTCGTTCTGCACAAGTGTGTGAAGCAAATCTCTTCAAACATCACCTTTAGCCGCCACTCTGTTTTCGTATTGTGTTTTAACGCTGCGCTAAAAAAAAATCATCAGACACGAGCAGCAAAAGCTACACGCGATTCTGCTTCAGAGGGACAAAAATAATCGAACTTCTAACAGAAACCAACACACCAAAGTCCTGCAAGACCGCAGCAAGCTGCCCGAGGCACCATCAAAGGCCTCGATATCCGCACAAACATGTTGTAAACAGATTTCTCCCATCAAATGTACTCAGCGCGAATAAAGGTTGCTTTTTCAAATCTTTCTCTCAGTTCGTTGTGTGAACAATTGTCCCGGATCGGATTTTTATTTACACCGAGAGTAGCTTAGATCGTCACTTCATTTTACGCCAGGGCAATGTTTTGCGAGAAAGCCACGAATTTAAACAGCTCATAATTGTCAGGATTCAGATGTTCAGATTTTTTCCGGGTCCAATCGCTCCCTTATAGGTCTCACCCTGTCGCTGGGGGAGAGGTGGGTACATCTGGTGTAGATCCAAAACGGTCCAAAAAGCTGGGGAGTGATTTTATAGGGAAAAGGTCAAAACACAAACTGGGTCAGAAATGTAATGCAAGTGGGCACGAGCTATTTTTTAAAAAGTAAAATGACAGTAAACGTAAGATGCCCAGAAGTGCGGAGAGCGTAAATAAAAGTCCACACAGGTTTAAAAGAAATATCTTTTATTTAATACCAGTAGGTTTTCGCAATCGATGAAGAGGTTTGCGTTTGAATTGCCCGTTTTCTCGACTCAATTTCAGCCCTCAAAAGGGAGAACGAAAACAGGGAATTCAAACATTTTGTCCAGGTTTTCACAAACAAAACAAACGCACTGCCTATACAGTTGGCGCAAACGTTTTTCTAACTAAAATGCACAAATGTTTTTTTTTAATACGCATAGTTGTATTTATTATTATCTTTCTTCTCGCTTGTACATCGGAAACTTCTGGGACGAATCACCGTCCACGGAGTATTTCCACCTCAACCTGCTTTCAGAAGAATGTAAAACTGTTTGAGGATCGAGTATGTCTACTGAGTTGGGAATGGCGGAAATTGCAGCAATTAAACAACACGCTGTTGACGACCCCCGCAATAAGGACGTGGAACTAATTTCCCAACTTGTGTAATCCCAGTGAATTTAAAATAAACTTTTCATTAATTTTGCTCTTTGTTTCAACTCCCCCCCCCCCCTCCCCCCCCCTCTCATTCGTCCAAATTACAGCAGATCGGGCGAATTCCTAGAAAAACTTGTGTAACGTGAGACATGAGGAGGTGCAGAACCTACAACCTTGTGAGAAGCGTCTGCGTTTGGAAGCTCGATATAAAGGAAGGCAATCTTTTACAGATTGCTTAAAATTCCGCGTGACACACATCTCTCCTCTAAATCGGTACAAAATTGCAGTTACACAAAGACTACGATCACGATAGCTGCAATTAAATTATTCCGAAGCGAGCCGTTTGCCTTGTCATCGCCATTGAAATGAGTTTCCGACATTTAATACATTTCTCAAAGTATGGTTGCATTAATATAATACATAATGCTACTCGGGAAAAGAGCAGTATGTACAGGTTTGGCAAGACACTGGAATCGCTGGACAGCGATTGCGCGAGTGAATGTTAATTGCTGTTTCATTTGGCAACTATACCAGAACAGGATTACTGCACAACTTTGAGTAAACGACGTCTGGTAATTTAATATAAAATCGAATTCAATTACCATGAGAAACATGTTCTAAATTAGATATTTTGCATCGCTCCCGTATGTTTGCAGCAGCTTTCTGACTATGTCGCTGGAAGCGCATGTTATCTTCAGACTTGCAAGCAATTGCATGTATTGATCGCTTGTGTAACAGTCTACAATGTTTGCTTTAACTGATCATTTCCTGTTTGTTCATATCAATGTTTTTCTACATTCAAGCTTATCGTGTCAGTGTTGTTTGCCGTATACTTGTGGGTAAAGAGAAGGTGGTGCTGGAGAGAGAAAAAAAAGCGCCACGTCCTATTTATAAGGGTATAAATACAACGTGTAAACCCGTGGCCACCGCTGTTGTTTAATGCTCGGACGTGACTTGATCGCTGCTGAAGTAAAGTTTGATGTAAAGATGAAAGGTCACTCGGCAGCTGAAGACATGGCTTTCGCGTCCAGCCTTTAAGCAGCAAAGAATGAATTCGAACGCAAGAGTTCATAATTTGCCCAGTGATTTGTAGTATTAGACATTTTATTGTCGGTTTTACGAGATTTGCTGATATACGCTTTACAGTAGAGCACAGTTTAACACCAAACGCTAACTTTTATTGCGTTGTTTTAGCCACACATGAGCCAGGCATGTGATCTGGTTATCCAATGGCGACTCTCACACCGTTTGATTCAACTTGGAGCTCACATGAACTAATATTCTACTCATCGACTATCATTACGTTTGATAAGCATATGGAGAATAAAGCCGAGTTTCAGGCTTTTTCATCCGTTTAACGAACACTACTTTGGACTCCTATCGCATGGGTCCAACCCCCGTATGGCAACAGGATTAAAAAATATATAAACTACATTTGATTTAATCTCGCAGCAATGCTCAATCCAGCTGCAACATGTTGATAAACCGCTGTGAAATATGATTTACCTCCCAAAGGATCTTCTAAAAAAATGTGCCATCTCATTGCCTGTGAAATGCATTAATTTGGTTTTCTCTACTCTTTTCAGGATTCGGGGTCTAAAATGAAGCAAGCACAGTGTTGATTTTTAAACAACATTTATTAATTTAATCACATTCGACCATCATAAAAAGTGACTATTGCTGCAAAATACCACGTAATTCTTTTTGTCTGTGTTTAAAATCTGCGTTTCAGAGAGATAGATAATAGTTCAGAATTTCCAGCCACAATATACCACCAATTAATTCATACACACAGTAATTAAGACACATCGCAAGTGCACTATTTGTTTCTACAATTCATAAAGTGTATTCGCAATACATTCCAAATAATTCATTCTATTAGGCAGTTCATGTTGTTGGGTATAATCACAAAAATGCTAAAACAATCAACAAACTAAATCAATCACAATATAATTTCATATATTCACGTTATCAAAAACAAGAACTTCAATTTCAAAAATGGCTGTTCTGCGATTTTGCCACTTTTCCACTTTTTCACTTGTAAAGGGAGTTGCATAATTTTATAGAATTGGTGATAGCTGTCACGGTGTGATTGAAAAGGATAAAATGATACACAAATACTTCATTAGAAATAATGTCAAATTAAGGCTATAGACATATATATATGTAAAAAAAAGTGGACTTTTTGCACAAAACTAGCCACCAATGTGCTGTAGGCTGCAGAGCTCCTTTTGATCACCACATTTTACCAGTGTAACTCGTACAAGCTGAATGATGTTTTGTTTTGAGAGAGAGAGAGAGAGAGAGTGAGAGAGAGGAGCAATGGCAGGAAAGTTATTTGGTATCGTTTTCTGTTGCCTCCTGCTCAGTTTCTTCCAGCTCTTTCTTTACCCCTTCCTCCTCCTCGTTGCGAGAGGTTGGAAATTTGTCCTTGTTGTTTTCTTTTTTCCACTTCATCCTCCTGTTTTGAAACCAGATCTTCACCTGTCTCTCAGTCAGTCCCAAAGCGTGTGAAACCTCGATTCTTCGCTTTCGAGTCAGATAGGGGTTGAACAGGAATTCCTTCTCCAGCTCCAGAGTTTGGAATCGGCTGTAAGTTTGTCTGCCTCTACGCCTGCCGGGGGCTGCTGGGGAAAGCGACAAACACAGAAAAGAAACGTTAATATCTATGCAGTAAAAATGATGGCAAACTGAGAAATAAATGGCAATAATAATGTTGGCTCTGCCCTGCAGTCCGACACAATGAAGATCCTCTCCACATAAATATATACAGATAGTGTGCTGAACACCTTAGCAATATAACTGAGCCGTAAAACGTGAGATGAAAACTAATTTTAATATATCCAACCTTGAGGTCTCATCCAGGGAAACATTTGAGTAGGAGACGAGTTCTGATTTAAGTGCTCTGGTTCTTCGCCAATATTACTGCTGGACGATTTACAGTCAGGATATTGTACCAGATCGGCCTCTTGCTGTGTCGTAAAAATCTGCTGTCTCTGTAAATTATCGTATCCGTAAAATTTAGAGGGGTCACTATGACACGTAATTCCACAAGGATTCTGTTGAAAGCCAGTATTAGGAAGTGCTGATGTCCCATGATGGTAAAATTCTTGAACTTGAGTTGGGTGCTGGAAGCTCGCACCGCTGCTGGGTCCATAGACTACAGCGTGTCTGCTGGCAACGTCTTGGGGAAAGCGGCAGTCGTAGTAAGTGGGACTTAACGTCTCTCCTGGCTTGTACTTGGAGTAAAATGGATTGACAAAATATGAACTCATCTGGGCTGGCTCGAGAAACGGTCAGCGGAGCAATCACCGCACCGATCAATGTGGGTTTCTGTGTTGTGTTTTTTTAAAAAAAACACACACACACACACACACACACTCGCAGCAAACAACAAGAGCAACAGCAGCACCAGCAGCAGCAGCGACAACAACAACAACAACAACAACGACGACAAGAAACACACAACTTGAAATAAAAGTTATTTGGGTTCCCGGGGTCTACGCAGTGCTCATGATGGGCAGTGCAGGTCTTGTGAGCACTGATGCCCAGTGGAACATACTCGCTGCTACTGTAAGGAACGCCAACCACTGCCTCTCACTGCTTTGCTTTGCTTTGCTTTAAGCTGTTTCACTTTGAATCCGCAGATCAATTCTCCAGCAGCTCAGGAGAGAGAGAGAGCCTTTGCCTTGCAGTTTGCAGTTTGCAGTTTGCAGCTTTGGCGGCCAACTCGTCAACCCCCCTCTGAACTGGGGAATGATATTTTGCTAAAGTAAAGAAGGGCATTCAGATTGGGGTGTGTGTGTGTGTGTGTGTGTGTGTTGGGTGGGGGGGAGGGGAGGGGGGGAGTGTGGGGGGGTGGAGTGGGGGGGGTGGAGGGAAAAAAAAGATAACATGCGGATTAATATATTCAGCACAATCTCATTACAATTAGGCGGGCCGCTTCACACGAAACATGAAATACGTGCGCCACTCAGCTGAAGTGAGGTGAGGCTCGACTACAGCAACTGCAATTAGATTTCAGAGCACAACAAGGTGAGACTGGACTCAAGGTCAAGATATGGTCGAAAATGGGGAGGGGGGGGGGTTGGTGGAGGGGGGGGGGGTGTTGGAGAGAGAGAGCGAGAGAGAGAGAGAGAGAGAGGCAGAGAACAGAGGACTGCAAGATTTGGCACAGGCTTTATACCTGGGATTATTTTGGTGGAGGCTCTTCATACTTTACATCTTCTGGAACCTGTCCCCTGTCTATCGATCTGTCTAAACCGAGGATGTACATGTACTGTGGGTAGATACATATCTGCACACAGAAGCAATATGTTACATTACACCTACATGTCAGTAGTCTGCCTGGATTCTATTGCCAATCGAGCAGTACATGCCTCAGTGTTGTGGGACATGGCAAGAGATCCGAAACAGTACATAGATGCGTGTTAAGAAAACTATATCAAACAGCATTAATATAAGAAATGCCCCCTTGCACGTTTTACGAGAAGAAACGTTTACCCTTGACTCAGAGAGAGAGAGAAAAAAAACAGGCACGCTTGACTGAAACTTTGAGGTTAATTGCTACCTAATGAAAATCATGCCTGTGAATACGATTTCCATCATTTCACCCCCCGGCAGACGTCATTACCGAGGAAAGTAGCTCGAATATGCAGGGGAAAAAAAACACACCGTTTTTAGCTCCAGGTTGGAATTTCAACAAGAACTCGAGCACCGGGAGAAACAACAAGTGCAAAACGAGAAGCGCGTTGGCTATGGTTTGCTTCAGAGAGAGGCGAATTATAATAATAATAATAATAATAATAATAACAATCCTTGCGTTTGATAGAGCGCTTTTCACGTCGGGAGGACGTCCCATAGCGCTTCACAGAACGCACCGCGAAGCGAATTGACTGTATATGTTTGCGGGCGGAGGGCGGCAGCCAATTGCGCACAGCAGCGTCCCCGCAGACGGTCGTGGATTGAAAATGACCCCCATTTATTATCGGTGTCGGTGTTTCGAGAGGCTCGTGAATAAACCGAATCCCCATTACCCCCCACACCCCCCGCCCCCCCCCCCCCCCCCCCCCACCCCCACCCCCCCACCCCCCTCGAGCCACTGCGTTTAAAGTTTAATCGAGAAGGACCGCTCGATCTGGTTCCACATGGTATTCACGGTGAACTTTGTGCCTCACGCTCCGTTGGTTGCCTCAACCCCAAGGAAACCTTCAGAGAAACAGCATTACAAATGTCTCCTCTCCACTGCCCGCCACGACCGGATCGGTTCCACTCGCAGTTTTAACGCAATACCCCCCCCCCCCCCCACTCCCCCCCCACCCCCCAAAATGATGGAAAGTTGGGCCACCTCTCGGTTCTGCGCGCCTTCTGTTTTTTTTAAAAAATAATAATAAAAAAAAATACACACGTTTTTGAATCGGTTTTGTTCGCGCGGAAACGAAAGCAAAAGATGCAGCTGGAAAGTCGCAAAGGTGTTTCTTTGCTCAGAGCGTTTATAGCTATGAAAATATCATATACCTTCAATGTTATATACGCACTGATGCGGAAAGATGTTTTTCCTTCCGCCTGCGTTAATTTATTTCACGACCAAAGCCAGGTATTGCATTTAAGGTTAAAATCAATTCCCTCCATTTCAATCGGTATAATTTACAATGTAAATGATAAGCTTTACAATGTAAATTATACGCCGCTATTTGAACATGTTCTGTACAAAATCACATCTACATATTTCTTTTAGGTGACATCTACACTTTACAAGGACGTGTGCTGTAATTTACATGAAAGTTAACCATTATTCCATGGACGGATATGTATATACCCCTCAGGTTATTTTATTTATTTTTGTTTTTAACAAAATCAAACCCTTACTGAATCATACGGCGGGATGGTTTATGTAAATGTCAGGTCGATGTTAATTTAATAGACTTGTTTGCCATGTTTTATTTTGGTTTATTTTGTCTGCAATTGAAACGGCCTTAATTTTTCTTCTAATAAACCAGAACCTTTATTTGTGAATACATTTATGAGGAGAAACGAGGATTCCGTTTCTCTCGGATTAAAATTTAAAAATACAGAAGCTATAACCATCATTCGGGCTCGTTGGAGAAACTCAACCTCATCAGTGGCAAAATAATTTTAAATAAAAGGATAAAACATTATTTATCCGTAATCGGGTAAATGCTGCCGTGACCGTTTCAGACATGAAACTACGTAGAAAATAGATACCTGACTATTCTCCCCAAATACTGATTTGAAATAAATAATTGAAGCGCACGGAGCTCAATTGAGTTTAAAATATAACGGGAGACAACTGTTATTTTTATTTCACTTACTCTTTTGCAAATAATTGTTCTTTTCAGAAATATTTGCTGCCGATTTATCATGAGACAAATGGGCACCCATCTATGAGAAATCCGAATAAACCGCTTATTTGTTGTGCAATGAACTCACTGCAAAACTACACGGTATTAAATAAAACCTTTAAAATAAGTATTTGAAATCATAAACTCACAAATTGGACATAAAAGCAAGACGGAAAATTTACCGAAAACACGTGTGTGTCGCTTGTTCTATTTTTATGACTGAAATAATCGTTAAACTATTTTCAATCAGATATTTTATTAAGATTAGAGAAAATACGTTATTTCGTGTAGGATTCCGTTGCAGCTGTTTATTCGAATATATCGCTGAGATTTCGTTTTTACATCACATAGTTTATTAATTTGGGAAATAAGGCCTAACGTGTTTTAGTAGCGTTTATATCTCAAATCCAGAACGTATCATTGAATATTTTCCGTATTGGCTGTGACTATAGTGCGCCGCATTATCCATTTTAGAAAAAAAGTTTTTTTAAAAAATACACAAGTGTGCAACAAAATGGAGTTTTTTTTTAAATGTAGCCTTTACAATGAAGTTAAACTATTACATGTGTGAATTGTTTGAAAAAAAACCTGCCCCATTTATTTCGACAAGCCTGCGAAACCGTAGCTTGTGCTGTCGAATTGTTTTAAAATCCATTTAAAATAGGCTGCGTGGAAGTTTTTCTTTGCTTGCAAATCAGCATTTTGCAAACGTGTCTGATTTTCACATTTTTTGGGGGGTCGTGAGCGAGTCTACAACTGGAACGCAAATTCCTTGCTGTTTCTTTGATCGCATGTTTAGGAATAAGCGCGTCAGTTATTATTCCACATTCTCTAAATTTAGCTTTGCACTTTTCTGGTTTAGTTTTAACCATTTTGCTGTAATGATTCCATGGTTTCATGCGGTGAACAACTTGGTTATAATGGAGCGACAGCTCCCTCCAGTGGACAGTGCTGTGTACTATTGTCTGTCCAGAACATGGACTGTTTTGAGTCCAGGTTTGTACAGAAACATGGCAGAACCATTGACCAAACGCAGCAGAATGTCAATATATATTATGTGAAATAATTGTCGATGAAGATAAGTATAAGATTGATGGGATACACTGCACATCCGTACACTAGTTTACTTGGATTTGGTGGAGAAAATCAACTTACTAAACCAAGATAGTATGAGAATTTATAGCACAATTGAATATACTAACACGGTTTGTTCTGCTCACCTCTTTGTGCGAAGAAAGAAACACAGACAAAGATAGAGGGAAACAAACTAAGTGTTTTGACAGTTTTATATCATTCGTGCTCTCCATTTGCCGAGTCTTTTTAATTGCTGGATAGCAACATGCGATTATATTTGTAAAGCTATTTATTCCTGGTGTCACAGTAATCTTTGGAGTAGCTTCACGCATCTTTCAGCTAGTATTCTAAACAAAAACCTTGCCAAGACAGAAATTTCCGAAATAAATAAGAAATAAGACAGAAATTTCCGGAAATCCACAACAGGTTGATCTGCACCTGAAAGTCAAAAATAGGTTAACATTTTAAATATTACCTTTCATCAGACCTGAATAGTTCCGTTCATGTTTTATAGTTTGCGTCAATTGCTTCACATCATATGTCGTTTTAATCCATCAATAAAACCAACTATCGCAGATTATTATTGAATGATGGTTATATTAATCTACTTTGCATAAAAATGCGTTGTATGAAATTATGAGTAAGTACATATATGTGTATGTATGCATAAATGTGCTCAGGAAGAGATAACTCTTTGAGTCGATTGCTTGAATTCCAGTGACAAGAGCAGAATTAATTGTCTTCTCTGCTTTAACCAGTGTCTGCAATTTTGTTTGTCACCAACAGACAATAACATGTGAATTAGCTGGTTTCAAAGAAGCCCGTAATTGCACGGAGAAAACCATAAAGCCATTAAGGTCAGACGTCTAGCCAGTTGTGGGGGTTTATTGTACCCCGTTCCTTCCTGTTTTAAAGTAGTATTTATGGAATTGTGACAATAGATGGCGTTGCAATTCAACACCTTCTGAACACTTTAAAGTTTTACTGGAACTTCTTTAGTGAAGATGCAAGAAGTTTTAGTTTTACGACTGCATAGCATTGTCTTCAATCTGAGGTGGCAAACGTGATAGTCATGTGAAATAACATGCAGTCGCTTGTGTGCTATATGGTCAATTATGTGCAAGGCAACCACCAATCTGTACTCAGTGCTTTATAGCTCCTGTGCAAATACTTTTAACCGTGAGTGTATGACTGTGGTGAGTCGACTAAACACATTTGCAGCTGGGAATCATTGCAGTGTGTCATTTAGTCGGATATTGGTAAATAGCGTGAATAGTAAAATAATAGTCAAAGCTTGAGAGGAAAAAAAACACACCGCCTTATAACACAGTGCCCACATAGGCCTACTTATAAGGAGGATAACTTCAATTGTTTTGGGGCTGAAGTTAACTCCTTTTGGTGTTTAACCAAAACATTTTATTTAAAATCGTGATTAATAATGTAGTTGCTGGATCGATATTAACTGTGAAACATCATCTTACATCTGAAATCCCGTCCATAGGCGTCAATTAACATCCTTGAATCATTATACTATTATAATAATTATAATCAATTAATTTCCATGCTGAAATAAAGTGTTGATCCGTTAACTGAACGAATTTCCATACATCTCCTGTTGTTATCTGCCTTAGAGTTTCTGTGATCCTTTCACCAACCAAATGCAAAGCAGAAGCTAATACCGCCTCTGCGTTTTATCCGTAACATACAGCTTTTGTAACTCTCGCTAAAAGGGTGTTTAATTGAACTCAAACTGCGTTTACTGAATCCTTAAACGACCGTTACAGTAGCACAAAAACGGAATTGTTTATGAACTTTTTATTGTTGGTATCACAACGAGCAAAAGTGACGTACACAATATATATATGGGCTGGTACATGAGTGGCATCTTCTGGTTTTAATTATAGTATTTTGTGTTTTACAGCATAGAATAAGTTTTACAGTTACGGCTGTGGTGGTTGTTAAATACCATGGAGCAGTTGGTGAGTAAGTCCAAAACTACTGTGACGTTAGCTTTTTTTTTGCATCTAAAAATACATTAATTACATCATTTTGGACTTATATAATAGTCCAAGTAAATCGCCTCTTCAGAACATTATTCGAATCAGCGAAAAGAGCACGACGTTAAACTATGTTTTATCCACTTCACAATTACTAAATATACTTGTTTTACACTGCCCCAAACTCACGAAAAAGAAAGATGCATCAAAACAGTTTCGAACATTCCAGAATTAAATCTGTTTCCATGTACCTGTGCCACCCGGTCGAAATGTCAGTGTTTTTATGAAGACTTATTGTATTCGACAAATATATGTTCTCGTCAAAATTGTATGAAGCTCTTTAATTTTGCTTGGAGTATGATAAAATAAATATTGTATTGGGGCTGACTCTCTTTGTCACCACAGTGGTATCTGTCATTCTGTTGGCTAATAACTGCCCTGATATTAAGCCCTTGGCAGTTGTGTTGGATTCGACACCGAATAAAATGAATAAAAATGGAATAAAACGACAAAAAATGGGGTACAAAAATGGTAACATTTCCATGTGTTTATGGTATCTAAAGAATACACTACAGGCAGAAACATTAGTCAACGACAATACAAGTTGCACGACTAAACAAAATGTCACACATGGGCAAGGTTTTACCTCTATATATAAAACAAGTACACTTTATTAACTTCGTCAAAGTTTTAACGTGATAAGACCGACTTGCTGACATCAATTTAGATTCGGTTTAATGTTGCCCAACAGCAGCAAATCAGGGAATAGTCTCTAGAAGGCAGTTACTTAAATACAGAATTGCTCTGGAACAGTACAACACTGGGAAACATATAGACCGTGCTTTGTTTCTGACTAGGCCAACCTCCACTAGATAGATAAACACATTCGCACGGTCTGCTTTGTAAGATTTTTTTTCGGAAAAACCACCACGACACACGCGCACGATCAATCCCTAAGGCGTTTTGTTATTTCGCTCCTTGCTCATCTTTTTCATTTTCATCCTTCTGTTTTGAAACCAAATCTTTACCTGGCGCTCGGTAAGATTCAAGATTCTAGCAACTTCATAACGCCGGTCCCTGGTAAGGTACATGTTAAATAAAAACTCCTTTTCCAATTCGAGCGTCTGGTATTTGGTGTAGGGACAGCGTTTCTTCCTGGTGGAGCGAGCGTGGATCCAATTTGCTGAAGGGTTATCTGGAAAGGAATTGAAAAAAGGCATATTAATTAACTGGATTTCTGTGTGTCCCCCCCCCCCCCTCCCACTGGAAGTCCACCGTTTGTCAAAAAATTCTCATCTGCCAATAAAATATTCCAAAGCTGCAATATTCCTTTTCAAATCAGCACTCGTCAAATTCACGTCAGCTTCACACAGGAATCAACAGAAGCAGTTAGTTAGCAGTGGTTGCATTCGGACCAATTCTGAAGAGAGAGAGATGCCATTGAAAGAGAATAAAAACAAAGACACCGGAGAAGGTTAAATGCAGTTACAAGAAGTTTAAGCGGCGAAACATTGCTTTGCTTTCCGCATCGAATGGGGTTTTAAAGATTCACGTAAAGATGCATTGCGACGACGCTTCGCAATTTGATCAGAACCAACTTTGTGTGTGAAATGTTAGTTCTGTGCAAACAATATCACCGCTTTACAGCTGGCTGTAGCTCCTCAGACTTGGGTAGGCGTCTAGACATTTTTATAGGTTTGTAAAACCATCAGCTTTGCACACTCGGGGCTCCAGGTTTGGGTTGTAAATCAAGCTGCAATTTTTTTGTACTTACTTGGGTCAAGTTGCTGTTGTTTCTCCTCCTTGGGCTCACTGTTGCTCGTAATCTCGGAGCTGGTGCAGCAGAGCTCCTTGGAGAGTTTGTCCCTGCTCTCTGAATACGACCCGCACGTAAATTCCGGTAGGCTCAGGGCTTGCAGCTCGTACGAAGAACATTCAGTCCTCTTGGTTGACAAAGTTTCCGGCTTGATCCCGTAGTGCCGCCCGTTGGAGTGGAATCCGGAGAAGGGGACGGGAGCCGAGATCGGATCCAACCAGGAGCGCACGTATCTGGAGTCCGAGGTTGCAAGGTGCGATTGATGCATATAAGGATGATAGATGCCCGCAACTGCGGCGGAGGATTGCGGATGGACAGGAGCCCAAGAGGAGGAAAAGACCGCCGATTTGGGGGCAAAGCTGCAGGAAGAGAAATCCGAACTGTCCGCTACACCTGATGGCCTTGAAGCCGGGTTGTGCGTCCCTTGAGCGTATCTGGTGGCGTACAGCTCCTCGGCTTCCTGTCCTATCAGGGAGTCCACATAATAGCTGCCTATAGTGCCACCGGTCGACATTTTAGGTACTCTCGCATTCATAGAAAAGGTTACACTGGAAAGTGTATCTCTGATACCTTCCCTCAGAACAATCATAGTATTTTGCCGACCGCAGCGGCGGCTATTGGTTGTGGGCTTCACGTGATTGTATTTACCAATACACCGAGTAAATCAATCCGCTCATCAATGTAACCAAAAATGGTGCGAGGCCCGCGTTATATGAATTAGGAAACAGATTACCAATGGGCAAAACTCATCTCAATAAAGTCGGTTGGTTTAGGGGGGGGAGGAGGAGGGTAGAGGGGGAGGGGAGGAGGGGGTGCATGGAGCAGGGAGAGGGGTGGGGGGAGGGGGGTGGGGGTTGGGGGGAGGGAATAAAAAAATAATCTGCAGCAGCCAGATTTGCAACCTCTCCAAAGTGCAGTTAAAAATAAGGTTGTGGAGAAGCACGGGGGGACTATTTTTCTCCCGTAGACCAATTAATGCCTGTCACTCGTTTCATAATCAGCAGTGCGTAGTCCATGATCTATGTCAAGAGCGAATATCTGTTAGTTTAGCGTAATAAAGCATCAAGAAAACACCTTCGAGGTATGTTAGTGTTTCTGTACTGTGTGCCACTGCTTAGAAAAAAAATAGAAATGTAAAGGAGAGTAAAACAATGTGATATAAAATGATCGATGGGGTAAGCGTTTTTTTATACCTTGAATGCAGGTCTGTACCGATTTTATTTCACCCCTTTTAAATGGTCGCCTAATATTATAATTTGTTTCAAATATAACCACATTTCGGAGCAAAGTGTTCCTCACCGCTTTATAGCCTGTACTCAGAAGCCACCATAAATGTTTTTATGTCTATCAATAAAAATTTTATGAGGTGCATTTGATTCTACATTAATGTGTCTTTAATAAAACAGGGACTCTTTTAGCGTAGTAAAGCAGGTCTAACCAACTAAAGGTTCCCACAAAGCTACAAGTACTCTCTCCATGTGAAAACAAATTTGTTTTTTTTTCGTACCAAGGCTTTCGCGAGACTTGAGTGTACCATTGTGTGTACAAGAGAGGAGACCTCAGTCGCTGCTCAGAATGTAAATGCTCCATCAGCTCGAGTGGAACATTTCAGTCCTATAGCTTCCGTAAACAATGGGGGGAATTGCAGAGAAGTCTTTGAATGCAAGTCGTGCAGACTGTGAATGTTTTCCACGCTCACCCACCCCCCCCCCCCCCCCACCCCCCCCCCCCCCAACCCCCCCACCCCTCACATGAAAGGCATCAAAAAAGCTGCAGAGACTGAGTGTTCCTTCAGATAACACGTTCAGTTAGTTCAGTCTTATCCTCTGTCCAGGACAAAGATCAGAGAGGCAAACTTCGTTCGTTGTGAAGGGGAGAAGTTAGGTTACGTTGTCTGAACTGTATTCATCAATTCAGTCTTTTATTGGATTGATTTACCCTTCCCCTCTCCCCCTCCCACACCCCCAAAAAAATAAATAAATAAACTGATTTTCTTTCCTTTTGAATGGTCAAGTCCGACACAATCATCTTGGCATTCACCCTGACGAGGTATTGAGGATAACTGGATCGAGTACATGGCCGTTCCATAGCAGAAACTTAATTTAAACTAAAATTGCTAAAATTTGTCCCACTCTCTGTCCCCTCTCTCTACTACCCTCGTGGTAGAGGGATTATTACCTCTGATTTACTGTTTATAAAATGAAAAGCTAGTTGTTTGATTCAAGGGGAAATGGCAGAATCTAAGATCAACTGAGCCGGATCAAAGACCCGTCAAAAAGCATTCAGATTAATTTCCCTCTATTATGTAACGTTATATACCATTGCCTCACATAGCAGCATTGTGTGCATTAAAGGCAATTTATTGAACAATATTTAACCATTAAACACCCAAACATGTTCGTATGTTACCAACTTACTTTCACTTTCCGCTATATTTAAGATCACAAATGCTTTAACTGATCGTAGGTGGATTAGACAACGAACAAGTTCACGAACGCTTTACATTGAGCATGAGTTTGATCGGCCATGTTTCTTAAAGCGTCAGGTTTTGTTCATTTGTGTTCGGTGTTATTTCACAGAAAGATTTTTTTTTTGGTGGTTAAGTGCGTTATTGAACGATACATCCTGGATGCGGGTTCTATACACAGTGAAACGCGCGGATTGAGGAATACATGTTTTGTCTTTGAAAGGTTTTTTTTAAAAATATCAAATTTCATTCTATTTAAAAGACCACGTTCTTAAAGTTTACAGTATCAACACATGGAACATCCCCCGATTATGCTGGTCACATTTGCTGCCATTTTGCAGCGCATTAATATACAAAGCTAAACCTTTCTTTTCCAAGAAGACACAATGCAGACTATAACAGCAATGCTAATGTTGATATGAAACCTTTAACCAACTGAAAAGAAATACTGATACTGTGAAAGTCGATAATTGCAAATCAATGGCTGTACATTTTCACTGATCTATAAAGTTACCGACCAGAGGAATTTGACCTCCATACTCCATTGGAAGGTTTCTACTATGTAATCAACACTGGGGAAAACATCAAAAGTTTTGTATATGTCGAATCACACAAGCAGAATAACGTAATTAAAAATGTATTCAATGAATATATTTAAACTAAAACGGCCCAGTTTTACTAACTGTTAGCAAAATAAATCCAACACATTTCCATATGTGGTTAAAGATTTTTTTTAGAAGTTGAACCCAGACTGATCAATTTACAGTTCAAAAAAGAATTTTGGTAAAGCCCTTGAAGCCTAATTGTATGTTTCTGATTTTTTGTTAAGACTCAACCGAGCAAAATCACGTTTTATTCAATATGAAATAGAATTTACTTGGAATTTATTTTGGAACAAATGTTGGGCTAAACATGTCCCGCAAAGCTTCGGTCCACACAGTTTAGTACAGTCTAAAACTAAGATTGTCTATAATTCACTCTTCGACTCAATTTGCTGAGTTTTATTTAGCTTGAATCACCATGTTTTTTTTTCTGAATACGCAAGGATATTATATACTTTCATTATCTAATATATATAATACTATCTTTCTCAAAACTACCAATATAAACACGACAGACTTGGAATACAACTTCCGTGCTAATTTATATGACATAATCCCTTATTCAACTGATGACATTTGTAATTTTCTGGTGCTAGAATTCCGTTGAACGATATTAATAACTAAGGTTAAAGCATCCGGAAATGTCATAATATGGATCATCTTATATTTGGATGTTTAATGATTTTGTTTAAATATATCTGAGCTACGCTTTATTTTCTTTACTTCGATTCTGCTTCGGAATTCCAAGACAACGAATTGGGTTTTCTTGGGATTTTTTTTCAATAATATGCGTTTATAAATATATATGTTAAACACGGTGAATTCGAATATTCACTGGATTGATTATCTTCCACATTAAAAGGACTTACTGAGCTGTACCGTTATCTGGTGGCCTCCTTCTATACACACTGCCCGTGCAATGGTTCAATTTGTTTTTTTGTGTGTCACTAGATTCCCATTGAAAAATCTCGCATTAATTAATGCTCTTTTATTTTTTAAAAATCACAAAACTATGCAAAACCGGTCACCTTGTGAGCTAAAAATATTCGTGCAGAATGACCTAATTGCGTTACTAAAATGATTCCTTTTTATTAGTCTGGCTGACATTTACAAGGGACAGCCGGACACTCCTTTAAAGAAACGGTCACTGAACACATTAGGTTTGACCCTGAATAGAACCGGAATTTGTGAAACACATTGGATATGATGGTAAATATGCTATTGCATTTGCCTCATACCGGATCATAAGTATGGGGGCAATAGTAATTGCTATTTACGCTGAACACATTAGAAGACGACAGTCTTCCGATGTGTCACAGATGTCGAGTACCTTCAAGTACTGAATACTAAAAGTGGTTTGGAGTTGCGGTTAAAACATCAATCCTAAATGCAGAAATAATCTAAGTACGTTACTTTAAAACTGTTTTAGCCGTGGCAGCGAGCTGGGTTTACTATCCGTGGCTACTTTATAGGGCATAATCACCGTTTTAATTTTACACATTCGAATCCTTATTTTAGATACCACAGTCATTGTTTTTTTTATACTGTGAAAAAAAAGTAAAAAAAAAAATCCAGAATATTTTATGAATCCTCTTATCTGCGCTGAGGAGGCGAAGAAGATCGATCCCCAGTGTATCTCCCAAACAAAGCTGAAAAATTATGACCTAGCCGGGTATAATTGAGCCAAAAGGTTATGCTCTTATTTTATACAGCCAGGACCATTCCGTGGCAATAAATAATTTAATAAATAGCTGTGGGAATTTACAGTTTGGATTCCCTGTTCCAAGCGAGGATGGCAGCATCGTTTCAGGCTAAATGTCTGCAGGTTTGGTTTAATTAAAAAAAATCAACTGCTTTTGATGAAACTTCGCTGTCTCTTTAATGCCTTGTCACTGGGTACGCCCAAAGGCGCGAGGTATTGTTCAGAAGTGTTGGAGAAGCAAATCGAATTAATCTTTCAGCCCAAACTGTTACATTTCATCTATTCGTCATTCATGAATTGTCTTCAAAAGCTTGAATTTATCTACTGTTAAATCATTTTGACTGCATTGCGCACAGATAATTTAGGAAATAAAACAACGCGCTTATGGCTATTAGCTCGCATTTCTCAAGTTGTAAAACGGCTTGAAGAAATTGAAATATAATTTAGGATTTATTATATATTCGTGCAACAGACACATGCACATAAATACACATGAAATTTAGCATCGCTATTCCATCACATACTCCAGAAATGTACCTTCACAAACCTAATGATCTGACCGCTATAATTGTATAAGGGATTTTTTTAAAAGGTGTAGCTCTGTATTTAACAATTAAAAAGATGCGCTTCTGTTAATTGTTCACATTAGCAGTGGGACGTCTATCTGATCTGTAATTACCAGATAAATGTTCTTTTTGACGAATCATAATTTTGCTAAATGAGAATTTCTAGCATTGTGTACAGTCAACTCTTTCCCCCCCCAAAAAAAAAAATTGCACGAATAACTTAAAACCTACTGACTAAATTAAAGTAAATAATTAACCCTGTGTTAAATAAGACAGTTTTTTTTTAAAAAAAGCAACATTCTTGATAAGGTAAACGTGCTACTGTGTTTTCAGACAACATTGAAAGAGAGACATTATCAAAGTAATGGGCAGTACTGTAACCCAGACTGGGTCTAATGCATAACGATTTCCACAGTCTCCGGTAAACCACTGCAGCACTAAACGCGTTGTATTCCGTTCCCCAAAACATTTGATTGGCTCACGAAAAGGTCAGGTTGGCGGTCAGTTCTCGGATTCGGTTTTCTCTGCTCATTTTCTTCAGTTTCATTCTCCGGTTTTGAAACCAGATCTTCACTTGTCGGTCGGTCAGATTGACGCTCTTACTTATCTCTAGACGGCGCTCACGAGTCAGATACATATTGAATAAAAATTCCTTCTCCAATTCCAGTGTTTGGTATTTTGTGTAAGGACATCTCTTCTTTCTTCCAGTCTTTGCCGTTAGCCAATTGCCCGTCGCAGCCTTAGTCGTGGTATCCTCTATCAATAAGAAATCAAATGTAAGCAATCATTTGTGTGACACACGGTAAACCTAGTTTCAATTGCTTTAATCGCAAGATAGCCAACTAAAGTTGAAAGCAGATTGCATGTTATTTAATGTATTGAAATTCTTGGCAAATACAGTATTCGCAACAAATAGAAATACAAGATGGCTGAATAGCAAGATGCAAGCATTTGATAAATTGAAGAAGAACTGAACTTGAAGGTGTGAGATATTGACTATTATATTGTTTCACTGTTTTCTAAATATCGGGAATCATTTCCTTGTGAATTATGTCAAATGTAGTGTAAGAGTAGAATATGAATAAACTTAAAAAGTACTGATTCTCAATTAATCGCTTGTAATCATGTTTTATTTGTAAACGGAATGTGAAGTTTGGGGTTGAAATAAAAACAGTGTTTATGCCTCAGGTCACTTCAGAGCTTCGAATCGAAATGTATCGAAAGCAAAGCAAAGTGCGTTCAGAATAATTCTAGAGGTAAATCTTAAGAGCATTAAACTTATGATCGCTGTCTTTTATGACACAGCTTAATTGCAATATATGATTATACGTATTACATGTAATACTTCATCGTCTTAGAAAGGACATTTTATCACTTTTTATATGTGTTCAGATATGAAACATAAATTATTTCTGTGAAAACGACAATAATTACAGCGCCCGGGCCTCTCCCACTCTGTTATTTCCGAATCAGCAAAAATACTAGGCATTTACTATCCAAAATACAAGCAACACCTATGGTACCGATAATACTGAGTCTCCGCCACTTTCTTAAATACATAATTTATATGTGTAATATATAGTACATGCATGGTACTGAAATGTCTATACACAGTAATACGTTTCGTATTATTTGGCACGCTCTAACGCTGATGAAACTATCAATGTTTAGCTGACATCTGTCAATGGTTTACTGGCATTTACTATGTCATTAACGATGTCATGGCATTACTGAGCAAATTTCCGAACAACTGGGAGTTCTTATAATGAAAGGAAGCTGTGCTACTTTGCGCAATGCTGTATGAACTTTCTTACCCGTAAGTATTCGAATTAATACGTTTAAATGTAAAACTTTGCAACCAGGTTCAGATGGAGTAATAAAGTAATTATTTAAATGCGGAATTGGATATTATGAATACTCACCTTTAGTCTCTTTGTCCGACACTTCTGAGTCTGAAGCGACTCCTTCAGCAGCCGCACTGGCCTCCAGTGAACTGAGCTTTGGCTCAGGACTTTTCAGAGGTTTTCCTTTGGTGGAATCCTGTGCGTTTGGCTTCTCAGTTATTTTCCTGTCCACTGCAGACTGGCTGGCCACCTGAGGTTTGCTGACAAACCCCAGGGCCGACTGCGGCACCACATTTGAACTGATATCTGCAACATTGCCATAGTCCAGGTTTTTCTCCACCGGGTAAGCTTGGCAAAGTCTGAAATATCCAGGGATGGGAATCTCAGGATTATCAATAGAGCAGGTCTCAGGGATCAGCCTGTGATAACCGGGAATTTCTGAAGAAGTGACTTTAGCTCGTTTATCAGAATTATACATGCAGCAAGTACTTTCTTCCTTCACGCTAGCAGGGAAAGAACACGTGGGCATCTGCGGAGTAACAGGTTGCTCAATTCGGCATGGTCTCGAAGGGTCAGCCCAGCCATCTACCTGAGATAAATACGGATGAACACTCATAGTCATATTTGGGTGACAAATCTCTCCTCGTTTAGTCATTGTCGGGAGCAGTCCACAGGTCTGCATTCCGTAAGTTCCCATATCTGTGCTCGATTGCATGTACATGGGGCTGTTTGAATAGAAATTATCGCCTCTACACGCACTTATCAGAGAATCTACTAAAAACGAGTTAGTAGCGGGAGAGCTGTTGGGGCAAGACATTTTGAGGAGTAATTTGAAGAAGGGAGAAGATGTCCTTTGTATGGTGACATCTCTAGCAAAACATTCCCCGTGTAATTGTGGATTCCTCTGCACAACCACATGACAACTAAGCCAATGGAATTTGAAAGTGGCCTTGAGGCGCTGCCTCCCTCATATCACATGATCCGCAAGGAGCTGAAATCCAACTCAACTGCGGGCAACAGCGACATCTACAATGCCAATTGGAAACTGATCCTTGCTCCAGCACTCTGCCATCCCCACAGAGATTCCGGCTAAAACCATTCAGAGCACGCATACTCCCCCCCCCCCCCCCCCCCCCACCACCACCCCCTCCCCACCGCAAACCCCCACCCCCCGCATAATCTCGTTCTAATCACCAATAGAAAAATAATTAGCATCGGATGCGTATTGCGTTTGAGAGTCAAAATTGAGAGTACATTGATCGAAGGTAAACCAGATGAAGTAAGACCGATAGAAGGTTTTCAACATAGCTGTTGATTTAACAGCCCGCATTAGTAGAATGAAACTAATGGAGCTCAGGTTTAAGGTCTGAGACCTCTGTTGTTTAGGAAAATCCGTTGCAATGCAGTGGCCACAAACTGTTTGTGTATTGTCTACAAATTACGTGTTTGCAATTTAGACCAAACTAAGCCATTCCATTTTGTTTTATTTAGGCAAAACAACATCTATCACTCGAGTGAATGGAATCAAAATCAGGTTGCATTGTATTAGTACTGCAACTTTCTAGAAAAAAAACTTTGATCACAGCTTGGTACAAAAAGCCGCATAAAATAGCTGAGTTATGTTGGCGAAGATCCTAGTGGATTTGGACACGCAAACCGTAAAGGTAACAGCGGATTTACATTTCTTTACTCAACTTGTATTGAGTAATTTGTCGAGTCTGAGGTCAGGACACAAAAGTAGGGTATTGTGATTTGTAACTATCGGGAGAGTTTCCGTCATCGGTATTCATAGCTCTTCTCGGTAATTTTCTTCCTCTTATGGAACTAAATGAATTATATTCTATGTTACAGCTGCAAATATGTAAAAGCATTTTATTACAAAATCAATCATATCTTCGTAAAATATAAGATTGATTATTATGAGAGCCCATAATAGAGTTCACATATTGAATTATTGACATCACATCCATTCCCTCCCACCGTGTGCGATGAATGCCGATGTCGCTTCTTTCCATTACAGAAATCGTTGAAAATAATATTTGGTGTATAACATTGCTATCCACATTTCTGAATACTGCATTTTTTTTTTTTACATTGGCGTATTTGCACCGAAATCCCTTTCGAAATCAATCCGAGAGACTGCCGAGTGCCACTTGCGATTCTGGCCACCGTTAATTCGTAAATGTTGCTTTTAACAAACCATTCACTCACTCGTGTTGCCTAACGCTGAAAACTGTTTCTTAATGTTAAACCCCAACACATCTGCCTGCTGTGGTTTGGTCGCTGATAATCAATAACAAGATTCTGCCAAACAGACGGGAAGCTATTTTTTTTGAACGGTGCGCTTAGAAAACAGTGACTTTAAAGCATGTCCCTCTGTCTGGTGGTTGTAATCGCGCTCCTTGTGTTGAGCGTTTCACACTGATTCTTGTTGGGCCGCCATTCCTCAAAGCTTCTCCGAACTTTCCCATTACCGGATGAAAAAAACTTCAAATGCTGCCATTTATCGAGAAAGAGATTATCAGTGTTTTTGCAAACTACGGTCATGGGGGGGGGGGGGGGTAAAAAAAAAAAGCACGATTTACGACTTTGACGCAAAAGTACTTTTCCTTCCACACAAACCGAGATTTTCCACTTAAAGAGAACAGTTGAGAAAGCAGCATTGTCAGGGTCAAGGCTGCGGGCGGCCTAATTTCTTTGTATCTCCTCTTTTTCTAACGCGACGCTACATAATAATGCTCAAAATCATTTTAGAATAACGGATTTTTTTTCCTTGAAGAAATATCTAATTTTCTTTTTTAAAATTCTGGATCATTGAAACAATTGCTCAAATCACTCTTATTTATAAGGCGCCATACTGAACCGGTTTAGTCGTTTGCATGCATTGTATTGCTCTGATTTTGGAACACATTATTTGTGGGAGTTTTATCCTTGCAATGCTCTTGGGTTTAATATATATATATTATACATATATTTAATGTTTACTGATCAGCAATTGTCAAACAGCGCAACTTCTGAATAGGAATGTATGACAATCCATACATTATATTGCTATAAAACGTAGATTATTTATGCCATGGGTGGTTTGTTTGCCAATGTATTTCTTAATCGTCACATTGCTGCAACACACAGCCATAATGTTTCCGGGAAGATGTTAGTTCTGTCTCTGAAGATTTTGAAACTTTCTCCCTCCTCCTTGTGAAAATGCCTATTTGTGAACACTATAATCACCGAAAAGGGGTGAGTAAAATAAATAAAGAAAGGACCCAATCGGCGCCGTCATGCTAATTTATTCAAAGTGCGTCCTTTATTACAATTTATTTTGCATTTGCTGTAATGCAAAATTGATCTTCCACGAAAGAATAATGGTAGTAGGTACAAATAATAAAGTGATATTCTTCCTGGCATGTTGCATCCTGTATACACGTATACCCGTGCCTGTTTTTAAGTAGAAAGATATTCGGTTCAAATACTATGCATTTGTCATGCCATTTTTATTTAGTTCCTTTGTGTACAATCATTTACTACTAAGTCCGCAAACCTAAAAGTCTACATAGCATAAATATTCATGCACTTTTATATGACAATAAAATAAATTGTTGTGATTAAAATAAAATCCAATAATGCAATTTTATTGTTAACAAAGAGTACCATTAATTAAACATATATAGTTAGCATGGGTATATGTGGAATAATAAGGCGTGTAAATGACTCTTGCAGGCAATAGCCCATTCCCTAGGTCACATATATAAGCAATGAAATGTTGAACGAGAGCCAACGGTGTGTTTTTATTGCACAACGCCTCCCCATATCATAAACTACATTAAGATTCATTGTCAACAATATCAAACCGCTGTGCCTTTGCTTGAAAGCAACAAATATTCAAATAGTGGTGACTGTGGCAGAACTGCAGTGAAATGTCGCTGCACTGCTTCCAAACAACAGATTTTTGCAGCCTTGAACGAGAGATCCCCCATTGTCTTATGGCCCACGCAATGCCAAATAGCTATCTGTAAATAAATTCTATTACTCAATTACATAGCCTTCAAAGGATAACACGTCTAGATCTTAGAATTGGCAGCGGATAGCAAAACATAGTGTCTCGGCGTTGAAGTATTTACTTTTCAGCAAATGTAAGATAGTGCCCTCCTAAGAGGATGGGATTTTTGTTGACTATTGATCGGTGCCATTCATTTGGCCTTGCGTTATATCTGCTACATTAAATATAGCAATTATGTACCGCAGCATAATGTATGATGACATAGCGAAGGTTACATTTACTTCTATGCTTGCTTTTTTAGTTGTAGCGCCTTATACTGCAGCGTCTTATGCAGAAAACTTGTTAAATAGCACCTTATCATTGTATTTTCTCGTCTAAACTACTCGGTGTTTATACTGGAGCACGATCACTTGTATCTCTAAGCTGGTTGATTGTATCACAACGCACATTAAAACAATAAAGGTCTGAATAATGTATTTACTAGACATTTATTCAGATAGCGTCGTCTGATAACTACCGCATCACACAAGCAAAATAACTGAATTTGTATTCTGTACGACATATTATAATTGTCTATTTCAAAAAGCTTACATTAAAAAAATTAAGTCCATGAACCTGTATTATCAGGTTTCTGGTAAAACAAAAAAAACTCATAAAATGTTACGACGACAGCCACACCAGACTTAACTGTTGCGTAGACTTTGGAGTGTAAAGTGCCCTGGTATAGAGAATAAAAGACTGTATTATCAGCCAAAGTCATCTTTAGGGGCAGCTCAATTGGCACTGGGGCAAATTTCAGCAGCGAAAACGTACATTAACAATAAGAACTAAGTAGGCTGACGGATTAGTCTCCAATTGATGCTTTATTCTTCAATAACGCGGTTATAGGCTCTTTATGAGAGCAGTGTTACATGTCGTGCTACCTACATTAGTTCTATTGATACCGCTTAATTAAAATCTCGTAAGACTTAAATCGCAAACGCGGGATACGATTCTCTCTCACCATTTTTATGCATAAATACAGCTTAATGAACACTGGATTGCAACGGGAAACGTTGCAGGGAGGTTAGCGGCACGACACGTGCAGAGATATCTTCAACATAAACCGAGGTGCCCACACCCAGGGGGTTGGACAAAATAAAAGGACAAGTTCCAAAAAAAAAACACCCGACAATTATTGTTTCATTGTACAGTGTTAAATCACTGAAACGTCACGGTATGGCTGCCAAACTACTACACCCCGCCCTGAATTTGCCTGGCTGGTAATCGCTCTGGTTGCTGGACTCTTGCCATCAGTCTAAACTGGTTATCGACTTGTGACCGTGAAACCGCCAACTACTCGTATCCTTCACTTTCACCTTGAAGCTTTTAAAGACATTTTTCTTTTGCACGCGTGGAAATTAAAGACTGCTAACTTATGAGAAAAAAGGTTAGCAACGGTTCTTGCGTTACTCTTCATCGTTTAACGGATGGTCGTGCGACGTATATATTATATATTATAGATATATATATATATATGAAAATAGCTCTTCCTGTCTGAAAAGTGTGTTTTGTAAACATCCGGTAGAAGGCGCAAAAGACTTGAGTGAAGCTACATTTGTGAAAAGGTTGTTTCTAACGAATCTTTGCTCTTGACTTGTACCACTGTGAATAGTTTCGGTCAGTGGAAGTTGTTCGGTTAAATTGTAAGCGAATAGTAAATGGTCGTAAATGGTACACTACCATTGTGGATTGTCACTGTTTTATTGTGGACCATTGCGAAATTGCAATTAACTGAGAACAGTTCCAGCAAATTTAAATCATTTAACTCCTTACCACATTAAGGCCCTTGTTTTAATCTTTGCTGATGGCACACACTATTTAATGCCGGTGAGCCATCACATGCAACCCGATGATAGAGAGGTCTGCAATTATTTACCTTTTTAAAATTATTACTTGTAAAGTGTATTTTCCGTACAATTCACAAACATGTTTTTTTCCCACGAGCTTGTAAAATAACTACGCGGTTAAAAAAAAAACTTACAGGACATTTAAAATAAATAAAGCTGATATTCTCTAAAAGCAAACAGACACCCAATTTTGGAAAGTATATGATACAAAGAGAAAACGTGTCCGAATTAGGTGGAATGGAAGATACTAAATCGATTAACTACTTAAGCTCACTATGATAAAAATGAAGCGAATTTCTGCTTTTTACACACCCACCTCGTGTGATGTGAATAGGAATTTTAAAACAACATAAGCGATTAATACACCAGTACTATTTCGTTACAGATAGTGCCATGTTGGCATTTACCGTGATCCGTCGCTTTCAACTATCCAATAGTAATGTGATTTCATACAAGGTTAGGAAAATCTCTACGTAAAGAATACATCACTACAAACCCGAGAAAAACTGTTTCTCGCAAAGTAGAACCGAAAATGTGGTATGTTAATCGCGTCTAAATGTTTGTACCCTTTTTATTATTCCCCTGGTATGGTTTGTACACGTTTGCTGTCAATGGCCCCTTGTTTTAACACTGCTTGACAAAATACAGTAATTATAGACTTAGCAAGGAAACTATTTATATTGAACGTTTTATTTATCACAAAATAACAAAATGTTTCAATTTCTTTGCGGCCGAAAATGCTGTGAACCGAAGTTAAATATAAAGGTTTCTGCCTTTAGAAACACTATCTGTCTTTAGTACAGCGGTTTTTAAATGCAAAAGTAACCTGAAATGTTATTTGAATATCACACACAATCCATTTCCCTCGCCTTCCTTGTTTGTTAAATCAGTGGACAACTATGTGCATCTAAACGTAGGGCGAATGAAGTTTAAAAGCAGGTTTAGTGTAATAGTTTGAAAAGACTGGTTCAAACAGTGTACTCCGGTTACAATACTTAGCAGCTTTCTTTAAGTTGATCATTTAATATAATCGTTTCAACCTACTTTTAATTCCCCCACGAAGACGCTTTAGAGTTTTAGTATTGCACGATAAACAAATTGTCTTCCATTCATGCCAAACGTTATTATAGTAATCTGGTTTACTCCAAGAATCTTCGATCTGATTGTGAAATGTCTAACCCTTTTGGTTCGGGCCCCTCAATGTGTAGCTTCATTGTTTGCTGAACAAATTATTCAATCAAAAATAAAAGCACTGAAGCAAATGCGACGAACCTCGTCAAATAAAACGTCGAATTTTGCCTTTTGCATCGGCAACAGAAACTGATTTTCATTACTGTGGTCACGTAACTAACTATGAGGCAGAAACGCCCTTCTTAATCTTTTCTTTGCGCCAGAGCAATAAACTGAATTAACTTACGATTGCAATGAGCTGTCTTCGGGACTCAATTTAATTAGTTAATACTTGCTTTAATTCCATACTCCGGGTTGGTGCTTCCACTTACATGACAGACACCGGGGAAAAGTCTACAATTCGTAATTCTTAGCTTGTTTCAGTTGGCTCCATGTTCATCCCTGAAAGCCATTACCATGTAGGCTTTTCACCCACATCCAGTTGCTGGACTCTGGAGCTGAATTACGCCCCCGTGTGGCCATCCGCTACACCAACCAGTGGCAAACAACATCTCCAATGTTACGAGCCTCACTGTCAGATATTGTCACATAATTGTCGGTTCTTACACGGGCCTAATCCAATTAGATATGTTATTGGTAATTAGAGCGGTGCACGCAGACCGGGGGGGAAGACGTATTTAGCAGATTATCGGCGTCCCATGAATCCAGAGAATGTGGAAACACCCCGATTTACATTGCAAACTTCAATTTGTGAGCCGTGAGTTACTTTTTTTTTCCCCCCCCACCACCCACCCCCTCTCATTTCCATAGAAACCTCCACACCGGTGCGTCGCTGGTGCGGTCTGTGGACGTACAACCAAACAAACCCTGGGCAACTTTTCCCATTAAGGGGCTCATCCTTCCTACATAAACTTGTTGAACTATTGATTGAAAGTCTGTCCTTACTGAGAGCAAATGAGTTTATTGATGAAGGCTGTAACACAGAAATATCTTTCGACAGTATTGATGAAAAGAACCATTGGTAAACACGTGTTCTTTTTTTCACTGAAAGACGTGTTTGAAGTTAGTGAATGTTCGAGTTGATTCCCTACGTTGATTATGTGCGTCAGTATTGATACGCACTGCAGCATAATGTTACATATGTACAGATCTTATGTTTTACGTTTGGAGGGAAGCTGCAAGAACAACCAAACAGCCACCAGGCGCCTATTTCTTCAAAAAGGTTAAAGGTGATGACCTTGACATTATAGAAGTTCAAAGGCAACATTATAAGAATTCCCCTACAAAATATGTTTTAGTACCCGCAAGAGGTGATGCCAGAAAGTTGCTACGTATCATCCCGATCTTCCTACTTTATTACTTTTGTCAACGGTGTTTTTTTTTAGAAAACAATATATACGATTTTACATATAAAATCATATTTTTACTTTGTGATTGATTGTGTTTTGGTTTACTGGTTACCTTGACATTGGTGTTTTCTTCTATGTTAAAATCCTCGGTCGATTCTTTATTTACTTTGATTTCCCTCATTTTCCTTTTGTTTGGAGTATATTGCGGAAGTCTTTCTCAGTGACCAGAAGGTGTAATAAGTCGCCATTAAGCTGTTTACTGCAGTGGACTTTATGATGTTGTCTAGACAGTTCAAGGTTTTATAAACAGCCCACATTGTCACACCGCACGAACAGACAGGAGACAATTCAACAATTCTTTCACTGACGTGAAACGCAGGAGTTTAGTGAAGTCTTATTTGATGGGATATAAAACACTGAAAAGTCTGCTTCAGGCCGAATTATGTTTTCAATATAAAATGAGTAACATTTTCAGTATAATGTGAGCAGTTGTTAATTCAGCGTTAAATGAAGATAGCTGTTAGCAATTTTAAATAATCAACCAAAACAGGTTCAGTAATTAATTTTGACATAGATTTTTTTAAGATGAATATGAAAATAAATTAATAGTAGTAACTTAATATGTGTATTGTCAAAAAAAAGTAGGGTTATCTGCGCCCCAAATACATTTCATAATGTTATTAATTAAAATGATAAGGGAATCCATATTCATTCTTATATTTCAGTGAACAAAAGTTTCCTCAGATAAGTAGTTAGGGAGAACTATACATTGCCTGTCTCTGTAGCAATATTTTCAGACAATTTAGTGGTTTTATTGTATTTCTGAGAACAATATGAACGATTAAAAGGAGCAGTTTATAAATATCTATTTCGGTGAGTTAAAACACAAGAATCTCTCTTTTTTTTAAAAAAAAAGTTTATTTATAAGAAAGCATCTAAGGCCTTTATTCACTTGAGAAAAATACAAAACAACACATGCTTTAATCATAAAATGTCAACAAATTATAACATCAAAAGTATATCAAACCGCAACTATTGGACATCTCAACTGTGGGAATTTCTAATTAACAAATAAAATGTATACAACTGAGAATGTAACATAATAAATATACATTTTGTTCTTTCCATGACATTGCATATACAAATTGAATAGCTCAGATCAGTTTGGCTACACATTGATTGAAACAAATAAAAAATATATAGTATTGTCTGATTGAGCCTTCGCTGTGACATGAACAATAGTTTCACTTCACTTCAGCACACTGCAGCCTATTACCCTGATTTTATTGATTGAAAAGCAGATTGCTGCTCCTTTCTGTGCCAAACTTCAGAATCCCGAAGAACCTGAGGAATCGGGTAATAGAAATGCTGAGGTATTATCTTATAAATATGCTGCAAGTTTCTACACGATCAGTCGCCGTGAACCCGAATCCATTCCAAACATAGTAAGTACGCTCCCTTTTCCACCGAAGAAGAGACAGACTGTTTCATTACACTGATAGTTCCTGATTGTATAAGTACTGATCGATGGAAGGGCAGTAAGGAGACCGGAGGTTTCATCACGAACGAGCTACGTCTAGTCACAATAAAGGGTTCCCAGTAAAAAAGTGCAGCCGATCTCTGCTTAATTTCTTTTCTTTCATCCTTCGATTCTGGAACCAAATTTTAACTTGTCGATCGGTAAGGTTCAGCATTCTTGACAACTGCAGGCGTTTCTCTTTGTTTATATAGACGTTGAAGAAAAATTCTCGTTCAAGTTCGCGTATTTGGTATTTGGTGTAGGGGCATCTCTTCTTTCGGGATCGGAGAGGGGCTGAGGGCGACATAAGGTTAGAAGATTATTAATTGAGCGTTGTTAATACCCGCCACATAGCTATAAAAGCGTGTTATTTAATTGTTCGGTTCTCTGTGGACAACAAACGTGAAATGCTGCAGGAAACGCTGCGAATGCAACGCATCTGCGAGAATTATTTCTTCGTAAAGGTGGATATTATTTGTTAGTAATTCCGGCAATGACAGCAACGCGTGGACGTAGCACTTTATTTTCAAACTGGCACTGCTAAAAAAAAAAAATAAGCGAGATCGCGTTGCATTACGATATGAAACACCGGCAGATTTTGCATAAACAACCCAAAACGTACACCCTCGAAATCCCAAGATTTCCCCCCCCCCCAAAAAAAAAAATGCAAACAGCTGATTTAAACAATTGCTCCTTTTATATATTGGATGTGCATTCAAAAAGCCCACCTAAAATGATTTCCGATCGTAAACGATCTTTACAACTTTAAAACAGATCTTATAGGGTATATAAAACCCCTCGGCTGCTTATAAAATTCCACATAAAATCGGTGAGACGAAGCGTTGGCCTGGACGCTAACCCCGTCTTATCGCTGTACCTACTGGAAACGTTGCTTTTCTCTGTCGCACTGTGACCGGGGCATTCGGGGTTGTGGTTTTGCGCCGGAGTTTGTCTCTCGTGGTCTGGTGAGAGTTTATCAGACGCCGTTATACTCTGGCACGCAGGCACAGGCTTTTCGGTCAAGTGTTCACTGTGGGAAGGATCAGAAATCCCATAGGCAGTCTCGAAAAATTGATCGAATCCTTGAGGAAGTATCCCGTTCCTGCCCACCGTGGCGTAGAAATTGCAGGTTGCGTTGGCGCCTCCACGGTGACCGTAGACGGTATCGTTTTTAAATAACATTCCCGTCCTGGTCGGTGGCTGAACGTAGTCCCTGTGCATGATTTCTTCCGCGGAACAGTAAGGCGCATAGCTGCTCCTGTAGTGCCACTTAGTTGGATGCTCTAACCCGTAATCTCTGAAGGACATTTCTCGAACAGGTTGAACCTGAGCTAAATTAGTGGAGTAAGGAAATGTCATTTGGCACGAAGTAGTCTGTGGTAAGAACGTGGAGACCGACGAGAAATCTGCGGCTGAGACATAGTACGCGCAACTGGGCAGATACATATTGGACGTGCAGCTCGTCCGGTCTTCAAACTCGGTCATGTCTTGTTTTGGGGGTCGCGGGTAGGAATTAACAGGATTGATGGCGTTAAACATGCTCCATCTATTCTACTCGAAAGGCGTCTGGTCGGGGTCCGCGAAGGGGGGAAAGAAAAAAAAATTGGGAACGTAAGCTGACGCGCAATTCATCTTGATTGATTCCAAGGCAAAACGAGTCATGTGATCCAATGTAGGAATTACCATATATCAGATTTAGTCATATTGATTTATTCTTGGGAACTCGTAGGTAAGACTTTGGAGTCTGACTTATTAGTGTTCGCATTCTGCCAAGAAGCTGCTTCCTCACCCACCCCCCACACCCCCCCCCACCCCCCACCCCCCACCTCCACCGATGCCAACACTTTGTGTTTTTGTCGAAGGCTGAAGGAAACACTTCAACACACAACGCAATTTGACTCCATATGCAGCTTGTCATAGACACGCTTCTCTTTCTCGAACGTTGGAAAAAACACCCCCAGCGGTTTATCAGTTATTACATTCATATTTACAGTATAAAATCTTATTCTACCGATATGGCATTCAATAACACAGCATTGCATTAAGCAGTTACAGCAGCCCATGTACAACGAAGTGGGATTTGGGCGTTACTTCGTATTAGTGAACCCATTACAACACACATGGGGAATTCGACTTCCAGAGCAGATTGATGTGTGGTTGGGTTTCCATTATATACCTCTTACAGAGGAACTTAAACGGCGTGTCCTTATATACCGACGTGCATTAATTATTTAATAAAGTGAATAAATGCGATGACGAATTTCACTCAGATTTGGTGATGAGTGGTTGCCAGCAATTGCCTTACAGATAAAGAGGTTGCTATTTCTTACTGATAAGTTGGCAGACTCGGGCCCCTGTTACTTCTCTTATTGTGTGACGCATCAAAGATTATATTTTCACTCCATTCATTCTTCTAACCATGGTTAGAATAACAGATCATATCACCATCTGTGTTACTCAAATTAACTACCCAGTGATTTTATGAATTTAGCACAGTATTCTGGCTAGTCTGTAAGTGCGTACAGTGGGACTATATCGTTAAATATAACACCACTATAATATAATATTAACCCCATGAGAACTGCAGCATTTCTCCACCAAAATAAAAATGGAGCACCAGAGGACATTTAACTTAATGTTCAAATACTACGACATATTGTCTGAAACTGCGCATTTCTCGAATTCTGTTTCCTAAACCCATCTCCCCAAAAGCATGCACATACAGTGGTTAAATGTTCGGAAATTCGCGATGTGTATTCTGAAATCTGCAAACATGATCTCAGAGCACAAAGAGTTAAAGTAAATAATCTCCCTGGATGATTTCCATAACCTTTCTCGTTTGGAATACCAAAGAGCATTGTAAAATAAGCCTTTTCAAAATCCATCTATATTCATTGGCCTGTGTTTCATATTTGAAAGCTATTTTTTTCTATCTATATGGACTGTGCTTTAAGGTAATCAGAAGACGAATTAGCAGGAAACGCAGAGGATGTAACGCTAATTCAGAATATATCCAAGGGAAGCGAAAATCACGGAAAATACGTATTCAGTTCATCAATAAATGTAATCCATGTTCTTATTTATCCATATCCCTATCATGGAATGCATACAATATACTGACCTTTAGCATCAATGACTTAATATGCGGCAGCAGAGCACTGTTTTATTGCTTTTGCGTGAGACGAGGTCTTGGTTGAATAATCTGTATTCCGGGTAAATGCAACTGGATATGCTATTTTGATTTGACCAATTAAATGAAGTATATTTGAATTAATTTAGTTCGCATAGACTAGAAAATGCTGGCATATCCAAGTCCTGCTTTATTGAGTGAAACGTGTTTATCACTGATCATAGAAGTGACAACAATTCCTTCTTTTCTCGATCCCAAAATATAGATTCAAATGAAAGATTAGAAAACTTCTGGCAGACAGTGAGCGACTGTTTATTATCTGAAAAAGGTAGAGAGCCATTGTATTGTTTTGATTAGTGAGCGCCAAAGAGAAAATTGTTAATGATTATAGCATAATAAAGATGCTTTGCCAATGATAGTTTCCCTGGATTCAGATCAAGAATTGCAATCCCATAATTTAACATAAGTTAAGTAACGTTGATGATGCATTAGACCATGGGCCTGGGCACCTCACCTAAGTTACTCAACAAAGTAAACGCATGGTTCGTCCATTTTACTGCGAATGTTTATTAATATAATAAAATAACCGCGCATTCAGCGCCGAATGTGTTTCCAGTTGAGTCGAACACAACATTTGCAGCATAGTTTCTGTTCCGGGGACCACGTATCACTTTCGATCCAGTTTTTCGTTGCATAAAATTCAAACTTAAGCATAAAATAAAATATCTTGAAGTGCAACTGTATTTTGCTTCGTCGTGCGGACATTGGCAATAAACCCGGGCTCCTCGGAAAGTGGACGGTTTTTAAAGGAAACGAGGCGGGCAATTAAATGGCATGGTGTTCACCGTGCTCAGATACACAGTTAAATCATTTGAATTTTTTTCTGTGCTAATTGTATACAGGAACGGATTAAGAGCGCCCTTTGTTCTTGTCCCCAGCGCACACATGTTGAAACGACTTTAGCAATGATACGTTCGTTGACTGTAAGGATTTCGGCCTATTTTGACCTCAGCCTACATACAAATACCAACCGCCTTGACCCAAATGACCCGTTATTATACACAATACCAAGATAACCTTAGTTAGTATCACCGTTTGGTCTTGTGCGTAGCCGCCACATAAAACACAATGTAAAGAAAAGCCACGTACTAACCGCGTGTGTTGGAGGTATTATTTAAGCAAGTGTTCAAGTCGGAGAGGTATTCTTTGACTGTGGCGTTCCAGATAACATAGGGAAAAAAAAGTTTATTTTTCTTTAACACTGCACGCAACATTAAGTATTTCAATCGTGAAAAAAATCTCATTAGTCAAGCAAAGTCCATGATCAGTAGGTAGGAGAGACGCGTGCAATCCAAGAAGAGACACTAACTTGACCTTAACTTTGTTATGGCGCCCCCAGTATCTGGAGAACATGTACAGACACCGTCTGGCAGCTAGAACCATAAAAATGAGATGAAAAAGAGATTCCAAGCAATTCCACCTAATGCACGACAAATTCCCTAAGCTCTTTGTTGTAGAACTGTACGTACGATAACCTCATTAGAACAAGACACTTTAGTGCAACAATAAATAATTTACGTTAGTAATAATTATCAAGCAAGTAACAGAGTAAAACAGTGTAAAGCACAGTGTCGAAAATTCATTACCATGCTTAAGAGTACCGATCTTTACCAAAGAGCGGCTGTTGGGCAATACTCGCTTTGGTTTCTCTTCAAAGAGAAACGATTAAATCTTTCTTAAGTATTCGAAATCAGCGAAGACCCGAATTTAATGTTCGGAAACGGTGTCGGTCTTCAGAATCATCCAAACTCAACACCACCCCGGTTGGATCTGGACTCGAAATCTCATCAAAACCGAGATATTTTCAAGAGGGATTAATCATTTCAATAGTTTGTTCATTTAAATATCCAAAAAAATAATATGTACCTCTGTTATTTCACAGATGTTCAGAATGCAGGTACATATTATTTTTGGGGGGATATTTAAATGAATGTGCGTGTAAATATATATATATATATATTATATACTGATTAAAATAAAGGGTACACCGGAATTTGGCACGGGTAGGCGAATCCCTGATGAGTTGGCGGCTGCGTTTGTTTTTTGTTTAATGACTGTCTCATGTGGAGGGAGCTGTGGCTTTCCTCCCGAGTTCCGTGGAGGCTGCAAGCAAAATCATTCACCCGTACTGTAAACCTACGTGGCATTTTCATTCGCTTACAGCATTTCTGAAACAGCCTCACAAGGTATAACAGAATGGAGGTATTTGTTTTCAGTCTAACGCCAGCCCAAAGGACGTTCAGAGTGCTTTATCAACCGCCTCAGACATTTTGGGGGCATTATCTTTAAATATGACAGAAGATGTGTGTATAATAGTTGTGCCAAAGTCTTGAGAACCGAGAACAGTGGAATTTGACGGATATCTGAAATATACTTTACAATGTATACAATGTATACAATGCAGAGCCTGATTTTGGAAGTTCAGTTTTTTTTTCTCTCTTGCGCGTTAAAACTTTTATTTCAGAGTCGCCCTGCTTTCGAGTTCTGCCATACGGCTTGAGTCTGTGCTGAAGACCAGGGCATTTGCCTGCTGTGTGAGCATTTCTAAAAACATAGAGATAAAATGTTTGGATAAAAATGCAACTTAGGACCGTTGATCCATTTCAGTGTTCAAAACAAAAGATATTTACATGCAACAACTGGGCTACATCTTCCTCTATTGTTTGCTGAAAATACGACAGGCCATGCAGTGACCTGGACATTTTAAAGTCGCTTGATATTTAGGTATATTTATTAATCTGGATTATTAAATGATATGTGCGCGGTAAACCCTTACAGTATTCTGTAACCCGTGGACAAGTTATCTTGACAAAATGATTGTAAATTTGAGAGGAATGTGCTTATTGCCCACTAACCGAGCTTGATAACTTTGAAATGGGTAAAAAAAAAATCTGCCCCCGTGTTGTTGATAAATTCCAAACAGGTACCATCAGTAAAATTCTTAACCCGCGTCACTTTGAAACAACGCAAGAAATAAAACGGCCCGAATGAAATAAGTCTGGACTTGCAAACAGGACAGAACGCATCTTCGCTTTGATATATTTCAATAAAGATCCACTAAAAGGTCCATGAAAGTTTAGCTGCATGTTTAATTAATGTGAGGCCAGACAAACAAGTGGCGGGTTAGAAGTGTCTGTCTGTCTCTTTTTGCCCACCCACAATCTCAGTTCCTGGAATGAAAAGCGAGTGGCTGCAATTTATTCATTCTCGTTGACATTTTCTGCTCACTGTCGATATTCAAGTACCACCATAGTTTCCTTTCAGCATCGTTTGCTAAACATAGATCGTGTGTTTATATCAAAATGCATCAATTCCGTAGACAGCAAATATATATACCTCCGACTGAAAACAATCAAAGCAGAAAGCTTAAATAAGCAAAAATCCATTATGTCTATAACTGAAGCGAATTACGCCATTTTGATTTATCAGAAAAATAAAGAATAATGCGAACTCTCGTTTCAGACCTTGAGAACTGTTATATAATTCAGCAGCAATCCCTATTTAATTTTGAAAAGAATGCTGGTTGTCATTTGATGAACTGATATTGCCCGAACTAAACATTTAGTTTTATTTTCATTCTGAGTCCAAAACAATTAATAAACTGTGCGACGGTCAATTGTCAAATCAAGTTACTTGGAAATTCTGACAAAGAAAATATTATATTTCATTCTTTTTCCTTTAAATATTTTTTTGAACCTTACATTTTTTTGAACAATCACAATATGTGAACGCATATTTCTCAGTGCAATATGGATTTATATGATTTTTAAAAATTCCAGAGCTGAGAGTTTAAACTGCTCGTTACTGTATTAGAATATAGTTTATTGAAAATGAGGGAGACAATCGTACCATTTTGTCTGCGTTTTATGTGTCCACAATTTTATCTTAATGCTGTTGCAAATGGAAACCACAGTATTACAGCATATGGGTTGAGGCTGTACAGTCAATTCACACAGAAATTAAAAATCACCAGAGCATCATTTGGTTTGACATGTGATCAAGGTCGAATTTCTTTATTTTGCTTTGATTAGAATATGGAGAGAACTTCCCCACTTTTGGTGGCTGAAAGAGATTTAAAAGTTAACGCCATTAGTTTATAAAATAATATAACAAAGAATAAACACGTTTGGTTGGTGTTTTAAAATAAAAAAACAATTAGAGTGGGATAATTTGAAAGCGATTCATTCTGTATCCGAACCGTGTATTCGCTCTGTTATGTAATGTTCTACTTATTTCCATCAGATTTTTTTTTTAGCATTCACAATCTACTGGTTTTGACTGATTTTAATAATAATAATGGTTTCGACAAATATATTATTCGAGTGTCAGTTACTCGACTCTTTGTCAGTAAACTGATCATACAGGTACAGCTTGATAAGGAAATACATTTTTCTTTTTCCTATTGAGCTCAATATAGAGAGGGTTTTCTTTTGTTGAACTGAAGGAAAAAAAATACAAATTCACCACAGCTTATCACCCGTGTGTTTTATTTATGAATTATTTTAAATGGCATTATTGCCATTGATTTATTTCATTGTCTCCATCGCATTCACGTATAATGTCGGTAACAACACTTGTGCAATATGAAACTGAGGCCTTTCGCAGGTTTGAGGAAAAAAAAACAAATACATTGAAGACAGCTGGCTGCACAACGCATAATACTCATCATTGGCTCGACTGAATCCCACACATCCCATTATCACATGTCAACTTCATAATCCATCGTTTACTAAAAATCAAATAACATAACCTCTTGTGGATGAGGATGGGTGCTCACTGTGCCGTCAGACACCTTTGAATTAATTTCCTTTCGAGTCCTTACTTCACAGCACTATTATAGCAAGAAAATGTTTTGTACATACATACCAGTGAAAATGCTTTACGGTTACTTTTTATTCAAACTCAATTTACATAGGTAGGGTGCATGCATAATATATACTGTATATTTAAGGTTAAAATACGAAAGCTTCTTTCTAATTACTGTGGTACTTACATTCTCAATATCTGCTTGTTACTCGAGTCGACAGACAATCGTGTGACAATTTAAACAAATTGACGAAACAAAACAATTATAATCTCTTGAAAACTGAAAAAAAAAATGAGATGACGCATATTATCCCTGGACATCAAACGTACAGGCCACGAGAAATCAAAACTTGCGCTTTCTGAACATTATCCTGCAACAGTCGATGGTTCACGAGGTATCCATGGTTTGCATCTCAGTCTGTATGTTGCTGATGTTTAAAAACCCCAACACGCCCATGACTAGTGACAGTGGCAATGTAATGTTACATTGCTGTTTTATATGACAGCACATCAAAGGAGCACCTATCCATTAAAACGATGGATATTCTTGATCTACACGCTTTCTACAAGCAAGCTTAATTACCATTAAAAAGGCCGACTCGCGAACTTGGAACTCACATTTGAACTTCAACTTTCCCCTAAAATAGCGAGAGCGTGTGCTCACGCATCACAAGCCTTTTCTTTTTCATGCGTCGGTTCTGAAACCAGATTTTGACTTGCTGGTCACTCAGATTCAGTCTGTCGGACAAATCTTTCCTTTTCTGTCGATTGATAAACTCGTTGGCAAGGAATTCATTCTCAAGTTCAGCTATTTGTGGCTTTGTGTACGGTTTGCGTTTCTTCCTGGACCTCACTTGTGTTGGGCACCACGACATCCCTACAAAACGGAGGAGAGAGAGAGAAAAAAACACAAAGCAATTGAAATTTTCCTATATTTTCTCGCCAACTGAATTGACACTTGCGACCACTTGGCTATTTCGCACACCATCTGTGTGAAAGATATTGCATTGGTAATGGATGACAAAATCGACAGCTTTTTAATCCTGTATTTTTTTTTCTGTACAGCAGGAATGTAAATTACACGGATTATCTTGTTTCGTGAAAATAACATAAGAAGTTCCAAGTGACAAAACAAACTAAAAGGGTGAAACAAGCATCTTAATATCATGTGTTACAGGAGAAACTGATCGAGGTTTAATATTTTGACAAATGAAAGTCACATTAACATGTCAGTATCTTACAGGAGCTAAACCACAATCTAGTGATCATTCAGAGAATGTTACATCTCTTAGTTACTGAAAAGTTTCCATGCAGACTTCCAAATTTGAAATCGCTTCATTGATTTTATTATCATTTCGGCTTTATTCCACCATAAAAGCTACCAGTGTCCGCGTTGTGATAGAACCATTTCATGCTTTGCTTCAATATCTATCAGTGTGTGCTTTCCAACATTTTCCTTTAATTTGGTTTGCAAATTTTCATATCACTACATCACGTGTTAATGTTAAATATATGAAATGGACATGAATGTGTCAGGTAGCTTTTTTGTTTGGTGGTGGGGGGGTGGGGGTGGGGGTGGGGGTGGGGGGGTGGGTGGGGGAGAGAAAGGGGTTCCTGCAGCCTTGAAATAACCATCGTTTTAATATTATACTGATACTGTACCATCGGAGGATCGGTTGCATGCTGGAGGTATTGATGACTGTAATGACATATTGAGGCTCACACACTGCTTGATGCCTTCATTTACAGTGGAAGTGTTGGAATTCAATTCAAAGCCTTGGCTATGTAACGAGGAGCCGTGCGGGGATGTTTCCACGTTTGAATATTCGTACTTGGCAGCGCTGAGCGAATAAGGGATGCCCGCTTGGCTTGGGTAAGCCTGGTTCTGCCTGCAGCGCTCCTCCAGTTTTCGGCTGCTGTCCTGGAAATAGTATTTGCCCGTCTCCTCCCCGGCTACGGCCTTTTCTGGTCCGTGCCTGCTGATGCTGACCGGGTTGCTGAGATAGGACTGAGAGTAGCCGCCGAAGGCGCGGCTCTGCGGCGGCGAGGCGCACGGACTCGGGGAGGTCCACGGGAGCGCACACACCTCCCGGCGAGAATAAGAGAGAGCCGGAGACAGGGCGGACAGCTGGGCCCCATTCGGACGCAGATTGGGGAAGTAGAAGGGCTCCGGGCTGGGGAAGTTCAACAGGGAGCCGACATAGCCTGAATTCAGCAGGTTGTGCTCGCACATTTCCGAGGCGCGCGGTCGGATCTTCTCCAGTCCCTATTTAGCTCTCGGACGGAGATAAACGAAAGGCAAAGCCCCATTGGCTCCGGTACAGTCACGGGGCAGGCGGAAGCTGGTATCCCCCCCCCCCCCCCCCCCGGCACCGCCTTCGTCCCACAGCAGCTCACATCTGAAATGTCTCAAGTCCATGTCCATGTGCACCACCATCCCATTTAGCCAACGCTCACTAACTAACCCGGGTCAGGGGGGAACACACAAGATGTCTCGTTCCTTTTTGGATCATTTGTTGGAAAGGAAACGCAGCGTAAATCCAATGTGCTCCAAAGACACAGCTTCAACGGCGTCTCTCACACATTATATTAAAGTTGTTTTTTTTAATATATATATATAAACAAAAGTGCAAACACCAGACATGCCATGTTAGTGCTGTTTTCTTGAATGTACCCAATCCGTTTCTGTGCCCATTGCGGTCAAGACAGGACAGGACAGGACAGGACAGGATGGGATGCGTTCACATGGAGAATGTTTTAACAGATCAGAGCAAACGCGACGTGTTGAATCGGGGAAGAAAAAGTGCTGAAGTGGAGGGAAACGTAAACCGTTTTTAATTTATATTTTACCGACGATGGATTTTTAGGGATTGATTCATTTCTGACAGAATGTCTGGTTGGTACAATAACGTGACATTGCGTCGTATCTGGAGCGCTGAGGCGTTTTTTTTCGTTCATTTGTTTTGACTAGATTTTGTTAACGAAAAACAACGAAAACATGGCAAACGAAAGCAAATCTTAACAAAATAACATTAGTGGACAGTCGTCAAGCGCTCAGCTCAGAACGAAACAAACGTTTATGCTTTAATATTATTATTATTATTATTATTATTATGGTTAATGACGGGAACCGCGTATTTCATAATTGAATACATCAGAGATACATTCACGATACCGAATGCAATAATTCGTTTTTTTTTTCTGAAGGCAAAAATACATCAGTAAAAGTAGACAACAGCCTGTCTCAAGGCCACATATACGGCCATGTAATTGGGGGCCATCTTTTCATTCTAGTCTTTAAATTCTGTTCTGCAATGCAAAATCCTTCGGACAATTGCAGTCACTAAGACTGCTCTGACATTACGAGTTGGAAACTAAAATTGCACCCGTTCGTACTTTTATCCTTTGTTTCACTATTACTAACCATACGGTGGAGGTGAAAGGGGAATTTTTTAATTCACATCAGCAGCCGCATTCGGAATACATATATTTTCGGGGGGGGGGGGGGGGGGGGGGGATAGATTAAACTCTACCCTTCTGTGGTGCGTTTAGATTGTACATTTTATTTAGAGAGTAATTTCTTAACAGAACAGCGGTTAACGTAAGCGGCTCGAATTATAACAATTAAACGAGCTTCAAGTAAACGTTGAAATCAGACGGTTACTGTAAATTCAGTATTAAAAATCCAGAAGAACCGAATAATCAATCCTGTTACTCGCATGTGTTTGATGCCAGAAGCAAGTTTTAGAGAGAGTCCACAGTCATCGGGAAAAAAAACGTGAAATGTTTAAAAAGTAGCCGTTGTAAATCCATGCAAATCGTTGCTGCATATGCTATATTTTTCGTCAAATAGGTCAAATAATTTGTAACGAAATAAGCTACATAAAATAATTAAATATGTGCCTTGTTTGTGAGTTAATTACACGATTCACTATGACTTTAGAAAATTAAATTGGCGCCAAGTCCTTTTGTAAAAAGTAGCACTTTATGGACAAATTCGTTCCGACTGTAGAAATAGAGTATTTGAAAATGTTACCGGTCTTGGTGTTCAGAATTTGACTGTGCTCATTCCGTGGGTCTACGATTTATCTTACCTTTCGGGACTGGGAGGGTTACAGTTTGACCTCCTTTTTTTCAGTTAAAAATCTGCCTATGTGCAGCCAAGTCAGTGCAGATACTGCCAGCTCATCTCGCCGGAAAGAAATGCCAGTGTTGATTCTCTTCCACTTTATGATCTCACCATAGCTGCCCAAATACTCGAACGCCTTCTCTAAGTTTGCCATTCATTTGCTAAAGTTGTTGGAAATCAAAGCGCTCAAACCGAAAGCGAGAACGGCATCTAAGGTTTCTTGTGCAAACGTGAAAAAGACTTGAATGAAAACAGCTCAGCTACCCACAGTTCAAGGTCAATGTCGAAGGAGTATCTATCCGAATGCCATATTTTTTTCAAAGGATATTGAACATTTTCGTTTTCATGCGTTTTCCGAAAATAAAGAACGGTTTTGGTGGTAAACCTTTCGGGTCAAGTACAGCAATTTCCACGTTCAATGGGATTAGTGCAACAGATAATGAAATCCAGTGAGGATTCGGGGTTTTATTACAAAAAAAAGTTCTTCAAAACTGTACTTTATTGTTAAAAACGTTTGTTTCAAAGCTGTGCATCCTTCATAGCCCGTATTCAAATGCACACAAAGTATGTGCGCTTTACCTATAAATAATATTAGGTTATGTTACATAGGCAGGAAAAAAAACTGCAATACGCCTGATTTGTGGCACAATTTCTTCAGTATCAGAGTAATGGGTCTGGCTCATCTGGGGAAAAAATGCCATTATTTGAAAAAAAATCGTAACGAGTTACATAAATGAATAATAAAGCACGTCAAGTTTAAATGGTGCAAGAATATTAAAACCGAAATGTAGCCTCGGTCTCAGGGCAGCCCCGGTTTTGTGTTGAAAGACTTTATTTTATGAGCTCTTTTCTTGCAATATAGGTTTATGCCGCTGTCTAAATTTTCAATACGACCTGTCAATAAGATCCTGCACGTAACCAGTACCTTTGTGGCTCTGTTTTGCAGCGTAACATAGGAACGACCATCTTGTGGCCAGTTTTTTGTCTGGAACAGCGTGTTGCTGTACTGTAGATGTCCAGCAGATGGCGAAACAGCTCTGCAGTCTCAGCAGTGTTTATTATTCATGAGGCTAAATAAAGTCAAGGTCAAAGACTATAATGATAGTCAAGGTCAATTTTAAATAGAATATTGACTTTCGACTGCTAAACATCCTTCCTAAATGCATCTTTTTAATCAGAAGCCCGCACAACCCAGCGACGAAACTTCAGCCTGTTACGATATGAATATTGGTAACCCCTAAAAAAAAAGAGTTGTTTCTTTTTTCGGGAGAAACACCATACCTTTCGATGTCTTTCTCTTTGCCTTTCTTCAGAATTTATTCCAACGCAGGACTAATGTTAAACCCGTTTCTGTTCTTGTCTGAAACGTATAATTGAAGATGGCGGTCAGTATTGTTGTGACCTACAAAGTCTTCGTCTGTTCTGTTCACCACTTACTGTACTGCAGACACTCGATTTTAAGGGCAGTCGTTAAACTGGTCTGTTTTGCTCTTACTGTTCTCGTAAGTTGGTTTTAGATTTTGGTCACTGTCAGGTTCAAATGAATATAAAATGGCCACAATCGTGAGTTATCCTGATTGCAAAATGAACCACAAATTGAGGTTGTGCTTTCAACACTCTTACGCTTCTGTTGGCAAAACTGGAAGTGAAAATTCCTCAAAATCGTTTTGCATACTAACTCAAACGATAAATTCATCCTAAGTGGAAACTTTGTTGATCATTTTACCTATTCTTATTATGATTTGTGGTCCGGCTATGTGCAGTCTCACACGTAATATCCAGTGCAACGCTTTTTTTTAAAAAAACATTCAACGTTATCTCTACATATTTCAACCTAATAGTAAGATACCAAGAATTATCTCGGCTATAATTATACCTTCAATTGCACTTAGCGATATGAACGATGTTTTCCTATAACACATATAACATGTTATCACAAATCACTCATTAATCCAACCAATAATAATTTGTGGAAAACCAGAATTTGTCGTACTTTGCAAATAGCCTACAGAGAAGCAAATGACATCCTGTTATGGGGTTTTTTTGGAAAAAAAAGGAGAAACATTTGTATTCTGGAATTTTCTTTACTATTGGCAGTGGAAATGTTTTTAAAAGTCCTTACCACTTTACAAGTGGCTACATTTGCAAATATAACTGTGCAAAACATAGGTACTGTCGTATTAGCATAGAAAATGATGAATTATGATAGCGAACCATCTCTTTATAAGTGCAAATTTTCAGTGACTTGATGTTTGCAGATTATTCAGACGTGAATCTGTTTTGGATTTGTGCGCATTCTCCCAAGATACCGTCGGCAGTGTATGTATGTATGTGTGTATGTATGTATGTATGTAAGTATGTATGTACATACTTCTGGAAAGTGGATAAACATTTCCTGTAAACGCTAGCCAATAAAATGCAGAAACCTTGATGTGTGGCGAATGAAAATGTATTAAATTAATTTGCATAGCGTGTAAAACTTGGAGGCAGTTAAAGTGTGAGTTAATATTTTGCACAGTATAAATCATTTAATGTAAGGAAATCAAGGATAGTTCATATTTAATATGATGGAGAATATGAAAAAACTTTATCCAAAAATTGTACACAGAAGGATTAATGTCAAATTTCTGCTCTATCTTATTCGTATAGTTAACATGATTACATAATGAAAAAATAATTCAAATATACAGCATAATGAGTAATTGGTTAGAAAACAGGTTTAAAAGCCTCAATTGTAGGCAGCCTACTCAAAACAGCATTGGGATTTTCAAATATATTAACATTTGTCTTGAAGAACAGTTTAAAATGAACAAAAGATTCGATGTAGAGCAATATAATCTTGCATAGTTAAACCATAACTTTTTAAGATGTTTTAAACTGCCACAAATTTTAATTAATTAAGCCCAAAATTTATGTCTACAGTTCTTTGGAGAAACGTTTCATTAAATGACTTGAAAATTTGGAGACACAAGAAAACAGAAGCCATCTTTCATTTCTGATTGAAAATACATTTATAATGAACGTGTTTGATTGTAAATTCGCTGCCGATTCACATGATTAAATATCTTATGGGATTAAGTCACAACTAGTCTGGAACAACTCCACTTGCAACTAATTTCTATCTGGCACTTATTTGAAATGGAATTTTTATTACTTTATTTTGAATTATTCACCACAGAATGCATTTTGCTGTTAGTATATAGGTATGATTTACAATTAGAACATATTTGTAGGGTGCCCAGAGGCTCTCTTGCTAAATATGGCTGAAGTTTAAGCGTTAAATAAAGAATTGCCTTACATTCAGAAAGTTATAATTACAGTTTGCTTAATGATAGATGTCAGTTGCAGTCGCCATTATATAGGCGCGTTTTAAACTCCCCAGTAATTCATTTGAACCCACGAAGAACTCAATCAAAAGTGAATTATTAGGAGATACTTTGCAGTCACTCAAAAAAAAAATCATTTAGCACCATATCGGAATATAAATACACGAATGGTTAGGAGAATAGTGGAATTTTTCGCTCCTTAAGAGAGAGTCTTGGATGAGTCTTGGTGGCGAGGTACAATAGCAAAGTTTCTGCCCAACCCTCGGGACACTTCATGAAACTGATCTATTCAAGATTTCTTTGTAAATCCGAAGATGTGTTTTGAACTTTGACCACATCGCTTAGCATTTTGTTCCCACATATTTTTTCTGGTTAGAAATTTCCGCATCACATGCAGTTCAGCAGAGTACGGCATCACTGGGGAACCGTGTCTGGTGCATCAAGGTATATTGTCTTTGATTTTTGAAACGACTTTCTTTTCTTTCACTCTTCTGTTCTGAAACCAAATGGTGACTTGTCTTTCGGTGAGGTTGCTGGCAGTCGATATCCGTCGTCTTTTCTCCTTGGTTATGAATTTGTTTGTGGCATATTCTTTCTCGAGTTCTTTCAGCTGTGTTTTCGTGTAGGGAACCCTTTTCTTCCTCCCTCGTCTGTAAATGTTTAAATCAGTCTGATGGTGCATTACATCTCCTAACAGGGTGAGGGGTGGGGGGTGGGGGGGAGGGGGGGGGGGGAATATAAATGATGAGCGTGAACACTTTAAATCCAGGGCGCATTAAAACAAAACAAAGGGCAAATCAAAAGAAAAGCTCCTTTAACGATCATTCAAAGCATGTTTTTCATTTCCCAGTTCACACAATTCAGCAAGCTGATCTGCAACCCATCAAGCTGTTACGCAGTCACTTCACATTATCCATATTACTTGTCATTATTTTATTTGGAAAAACAAACCCCGCGAATTCCTGGCAAAATCAAACAATAGCGTTGCACTCATTTAATCAACGATTCAAATGAATCTGGCGGGGTCTTCTCCCCCCCCCCCCCCCCACCCCCACCCCCACCTCCTCCCCCTAGGAATGTAAGCAAAAGTAGGAGCATAGGTTACCTGAAAGAGGCGATTTCCAAAAATGTGAAGCCTGTGTCTGATCTTTAGGGCAATAAACCTGACCGTTCCAGCCATTAGCAAATGTCCAAGGCTGATAGGTCTCCATGGGTATTAGGGCTTCATGCCTTGGCTCCCCGTGACCGCTTATTGCAGGGACAACTGGGACGTCTAAGTAGCCAGAGACACGCTGATACGGGTTGGGGTAGCTCTGATAGAAAGCGAACTCCTTTGCCCTGGATGACACTTCGTCACTGGGAACAGAGGTGTTGGTCAAACCCGAAACGTCCATGTATTTGTCCACTGGATAGCCGCCCAGAGATGCGTGAGCACCAGACTTCAGAGCAGTCTGCTGAATGCCAACATTTCGACAACTGTAATAGCTGCTTCCAAAATGATAGCCATAGCTGATCGCCGGGCTGGGAGGGCTGGTGGGAGCTGGACACGGGGTGCATTGCTTGGCAGATTCCGAAATGACCGAATGCGCTCGATCCCCGACCGAGTACGCGGGACCCGATGATAAAGGGTTGTGATGGGTCCCGAACGCAGACGGAGGCAGAAAATTCCTGCATTGGTTCGAGGGGACGTTCCCTCCTCCCAGCCCTTCCATCTCCGAGTGAGCTGTGCTGTTTTTGTTGTGCAGGTACCTGATTGCATCAGTCCTCCAAGGGGCTGAGAGAAGTGAAGCTGTCATATCACGGTCCACTCCAAACTATATCCTGCTTTATAAAAGCAGCCTCGGGAGTGGGAAAGAGGTGCTTATTTTTCACTGATTAGAGTGCACTGACCAACACAGAGCTGGTAGGTCGAGCCTGGCCACGTGATATGCAAAATGAGGAGAAATATTCAGGAATCATCAAATCCCCCCCCCCCCCACCCACCCTTTTCCCCTATGGTTTCCCAATATTAATTTATGATCAAATATTTGCAAAGACGTAGAATTTAAAAAACAAAAACCCTATTACACAGAATGGAGTTGCTCGGGACAAGTCTGCTCGTGGTATATTTGAAGACTTTTAATTAACATCACCAGGTTTGTTTGCAAAATGTGGGATCACTGTATTTCGGGTTATTAAAAGCTACACGTGAAATATCCTCGAGTGACTATTTTTTTTCTTGTTTCCATCTGACTGAAATGAGCACTGTAGATTATTTTTGGGGGAAAAAACGAATCATTTGGAGTTTGGCTTGTAATTGGGAATAGCATTAGAGTTGCCCTCTCTTTTGCTTCGCAATTTATTTTTTAAAAAATCTTCTTGTTTTGTACCAAATGCCCGCTTCCGGGACAGTGTTGTATTTTCTATATAATAAAACAGTTTTCTATTAGTTCCTGTGAATTTACTGTTTATTACGACCTTGCAGATTTATGCATTTCCCATTATAATTATACCTCGACAATTCTTGTTTCGATACACCGAGTATTCACAATTCTAGGCGGACATTAATCGGGCCCCTAATCCAAGAAAGGACCGTTTGGCACATTTCATTCAGGTTTAGCGAACCATTCATTAAAATTATTACATGTTTTCGTAGTTTTGCTAAAATTCAGTGTTTCAGTTATAGGAAAATAGAACCTCGAGGTCGTCCAAGGTCTCCGTAGATGTTTTTTTAATTTTATTTCTGCCTAAAACCCAACGTACTAACGTAAGACTTTAGTCAGTGATCATCGGTTTGCATGTTGCGTAAAAGGCGCTATAGTATTCCAAAATTGTGCATATTTTCAATTTAGTCCTGGCTGCAATGAGATGTTCAACTGTATTACTAGAATGAAGAGAATTTGATATTAATGAAGCATTCGCTCGAAGCAAATCAGTTTCTGAAGACATTAGTAAACGATGCTTTTTCTCATAGTCCTAGTGCAATTATAATCCGAAATTGTAGGGTTTTTTTTTTGTGGGAAAGATGCAGTATATAATCTGTGCATGAAATGACATGTTGAATTCACCCCACAGCCGTCATAGTGATCACAGGACCAACATATATTAAGATATATATACATATAAGGGCCAACGTATTCATTGTTGGCAATGTCCTTCCGATATTTAAGATATTTAACATTGTCATGATGCACTTTGACAATATAACACGACGTAAAAAAAAAGATAATTTGAATCCTTTACACCAAACAAATATTGCTATGGGATAAGGCTGGCGTTGTATGTGAAAGGACGTAATACCTTTGACACAAGTATTTATTCCATTAAATGTATCGAGAACATCGCATGTATTTGGGGGTATTTTGTTTGTCTTCCAGTTAGTAGCAGTCACTAACAGCTTCAGGAGTTAAGCGGATAATAGGTGTAAAACGATCGTCAACATGAACTGCTGTGGCAAACTCGGGGGATCTGATCTAAACTGTTCCGCAGTTCCCCGAAAGTTTAAAAAGTTTCTGTTGCAAGAAGTAAATGTGTTGTGAGGGCTGACAAGTTGATCAGGTTTTAACACGATGGGATCATCGGACGAATCATCAAGTTACCAGATATCAACGGATTCTATTGGAGCCAAAGTAAACACAGTGCGACTTAATTAAAGGACATGTTTATATTAAAAAAAATGTCGAATCCTTTTCAGAGAGCCAAATCGACACGAGGAAACCCGTTGACACGAAGCTTGACTTCACATGACCGAACCGACCGGACAATCTGCGTGATGTGACCGTCAGGTACAATGCATATTTGTTGCATTTATTGCATCTGCATCACATGTAGATCGATTATTTCAATCCCTTGTTTCATTTCCTTCCCCCCACACACACACACACAAAAAAAAAGTGGCGTTATTTTACCCTTTTTTTTTACCCGGTTGTTTAACATTTCACCATTTTTAAGCCACGTCCTTCGACAAAATATTTCAAACGTATACTACTGTGTTCTCAAAAGGTACATTTTGGGGAGGGAGAGGTTGGGGGTGGGGGGTGGGGGGGGGGGGTGGGGAGAGAGGGGTTGGGGGTGGGGAGTGGGGAGAGAATTTGACGTTTGTGCCTTTGTTTTTCTTTTCCATCATATGGGATTTGGTGTGAAGGGAGAGTTGTTTTTCTTCGTTGGTGTCCAATGCAACACAGAACGTTATTTAATGCATAAAGTAAAGCTCCGGCAGATGGCATTGCTGCTTCAAAAAGAAAGCACAGTCCAAGTAAAGTACATCCTTCCAACGAGAAACAGTTAGCAATTGGGTTCGTGGGCTGGTTATAGTATTCCGGGAAAACCCAAGAACAGGGTTCAACAGATACTGTTGTTTCAAGTTGCCCACATCATTGGTATGTGGACAAAGAGGTCTTTGCCGGAAGCAGATGAAGGCCAAGGTCAAGTTGGAGAGAGAGAGAGAGATGGGGAGGGGGAGGGAGGGGGAGAGAGAGAGAGAGAGAGGGATGTGAAGGGGGGAGGGGGCAGGGGGGGGGGGGAGGGGGGGCGTGGAGAGGGGGAGGAAGAGAGAGAGAGAGAGAAAGGGAGATGGAAAACAGCAAACCCAAAGCAACTCAACAGCTCCGTGGGATTTATGTGAGAATTTCAATGACTGGAGGTAGCTGAGATTTATAACACAAATTCGAAAAACTTTGACGCCGTTGATACATTAATTAATTCAGACTTTTTTGGGGGGATTTTTGCATCGACATGCTGCCGTAACACAGTTATTGTCATGCCGTGGCCACCCATTTCGTGTTTAACTAAACTGGAAGGGGGAGAAAAAAAACGGTTTCCATTGAAAATAGAAGATTAAATATAAAACAATCTCATCTGACACAGCTGAGAATATCAACCTTTCAAGGTGTTTTATTTGAAAAAGGCAATAGTTGATGTAACTTTTTTTTAAAAAAAGATTGTAGCTCTATATTTACACTTGTCAGGGAGTTTTGATGTATTTGAATAGAAAGTTATATTCGTTCACGTTTTCTTCAAAACTGTTGTCTCATCCAGTTTCAGTGTAAATGTGCTTTGGTCGATTTATAAATTGTGTGAAGAAATTACCCGTCAATGACGCCCCTTCCCTCTGGTCCCGCGATGAACATAGTTGAATTGGTTCTCTTGTCCTCACTCGTTTTTATTTTGATTCCGTAATATTTTAAAAAGCGGATGACTTAAACTGCAGATGAATACGATGTCAAAGTGCTTACAGTTTCAAAATGTGTACAAACTGGAAGAGCTCGAAAAGTCAGACGCGAAATGATGTTTGATTCATAAATATAACAGTGCCCTGAAAAGTTGATGATGTCATTTCGGTTTCCAATCGGGCTTACTGTTAACTGAAGAAATGTTTGACAAATTTTAAAATTAACTTATCAGAAATATTCACAGCGAAACATAAACGTACTTTCTGGTGCAATTCCTTGCATACTTTTAATTTCAATGAATTCGACACATTCCGAAATATTAACTGCTTCCCACCGTTATTGCTTTAAACGCAGCTTGAAGTTATGAAGATTAAAAAAGTTATGGTGCACATCATATACAAAGCAATTCATTGCAGTGCAAGTTGCAAATCTGATAAATATATCTTTGGATGGGGGAAGGTATTAGCGTAAAATAAACTGCACTGCAAAATCAATCAGTTAAAATAAATGCGATATTGCAGTTAGCTTATTTTATCAAATTCATCAGTGAAGTTATTTACTTAACAATTATTCGCTAAAGTGGAATTGACTGTTACAGGTTATATTAGCTCCGTTGACATTACACAAATCATAAACATGCCATTTTTTGTCAATGTAATGCATAATATTAATACCTGAATGAAACCAGATTACATATAACTGGGTTTAAATTTTGAGCAGGTGAAAGTACCTATGCTATTAAATATGTCCAGATATATCCTCATGAACCTTAAATGGTTAAGTATTAGAACATTATATTGAACGTAATTCGTAATTCACGAACAAAAATCTTAAACAGCAGCTAATATCAGATAGAATTTTACTTGCGGTAGAATTGCCACGTTACTTGTGAAACCGACCTGCCAGGGAATAGGTGAAGTATGCAGTCGAGAACAGTGAAATTAACGAAATGTGGCTTTCATTTGACAATTAATTAATAATATCACATTACGAATACCTGGGTTAATAAGGTGACCCATATCTCACCCATCAGGCGAACGCTTCCACGAGAAATACATAAAGCACAAGGCGGTATTTTGCTCGGATCCAAATGTGTTGCAAAATCTCTAAAGCTGTTCGATAGTTCCTTCATACTGATTTCTTGTAAGCGACTGGGAACGGTCGCACAATACACCCATTTTTTGTAATACGTTTTAAAAGTCAAAAGTTGTGAAAGGTTCTTTAAATATAGTGTAGTTTCCCTGTGCGTAATAAATAAACGCGATTGCATTCTGAGTGCACCATATTGTCTGATGGACTGTCAGAGTGGGAGGAACAGGAGCATAAATAACGCAACAAATCAAGGCGAATTAGCTCACCTGTTGAACATTTTAGTATTTTTGAAAAGAGCATTAGCTTCCAACCACACCTCGCTCACAAAATACACAGTCAATCCACTTTACAGTAAATCATGTGAAGCACTTTGAGACATCTCGACATCTCGATACGATGCTATATCAAGTGCAAGGATTATTATTATTATTATTATTATTATTATGTGGTATACATGATGATTTCACTGGGGTTGATGTTGGAAGTTTTCAGGGATTATGGTGTGTAAGAATTAATTGATTTGTGGCAGATGAAGCCATTCCCACATTAGGAAAATTATGCAAGCAATCGTTGAAAACTGTCAAAGAGCACCGATGTGTAGTAGCATATGGTTGTTTAACACGGTGTGGTCTTCTTATGGGACGTACACTAATTAAATAAGGGTGGGTTATTGTATAGTTTTACCGTGAGACTGGTGCATATGATTTTCTACCATGCATTGCAATTGGTCTTCAGCAGGCTAAATGTGACGGGCTTCTTGCAGTTTTCTAGAAAGGATGGTTTGGCAGGCCATACTGAGATCAAAGTGTGATCAGTCGATACCTCTTTTGTTCCACTAGACCTGAAGAACATCGGAAGAAAACGGAATGGCCCGTGGGATGAACTATCCTGAACGATTCTATTTGACGGACCAGCGACAATTTAGATTATTACGATTTAAGCTCTCACCCAAGAATACATCTCGATGATAAGCAACCCTCCAACTTCTGCTGCGATTTCACCACCATCTTTATTTTTCATAACTAAAAGCTGACAAATATGTTACACTTGTTGCCTAAAAATACCATTCAAGTGCCCTCACCCCCAAAATATATTGCTTACCGCTGGTGTGTATCATTTACTGGTGAGCTACATGCTTGTGTTGTGTTGTCGAAAACATTGATAACATTATTTTCCCATAGGGTCTTTCAAAGTCTGCCGAATTGTTTGACCCTGAAATTGTTTTCATTAAACGTACGGTTGTGCAAACGATTCTAATCAAATTTATTATCGGATGTTATTTCAATCTGCTCAAAATCTATGGGGAATGACAAATCTTGCCTATAATACGTCTAAGTTGAATATGTATCTTATAATAATCCTTATGTTATGCATTATCATGTCTGTACTTATCTATGCGTGTGATTGCCAAGTATTATTCTCTTTCCGACATGTGTATACGCAGCCCCAGGAATTTGATTGATGTTCAACAATTACCGAAATACAATCGATTCCTATACCTTTTCCAGTCACTTTCCAGTAAGGTACGGTGTGGCGAAACCGTTTCCAGGGCCATGGGTTTTGACCACAATCGGGTTTATGGCAGTCTGTGCCTTTACTTTCTAGAACATACCGAGTCTCCGATGAATGGAAGCAATTAATGACCTCTACTATAGCAAAGGGGAACGTAACTGGTTAGTAAGAGCTGGAAACATATACAGTACCTTCGTCTAATTGTTTGTGTACAGTGGTCAAGAGCAATCTGTTACTATTGACAGACACCTGCTTTGGTTCTGTCGCGCATTCACCAATAAATACACAAACAGAACAATACTATTGAAAGGATTGTAGAAAGCTTGGTTCGCGAATCTCATCCAGGCATAGAGTACACACCGGTAAGATTTCACTACCAGAAACTCTGGAGATATTTGTTTATAAATGTTCTCACATCCACCATCCAGTATTGGAGGTGAAACATTCACATACTCCACTGTTGTGAGTCACTTAATATGGTGTCTGATCAAATGCAATCCGTACTTACCACAGTACTTTATAATATACTTTAAATATAATAAATTTATATATTTATAAATTTAAATATATATACATATATATACTTTATATAAATATATATATACATTTATATATATACTGTACAAGTACTGGGATACTTATACAGTCATACATGGATGGTTAAAATGTTGACTTTTTTATACAAATAAGTAGAACTGACTAGTTTCTGCTTTTTTCATTTGTCGACGTTAATGTAAGTATATCATCACGTCTAAGTTAGTTTCACTTAACTATGTACATTTATCTGAGGTAAAATATTATAGTGTTTTGAAAAATATATATGTTTCGAATACGTTTCTTCATGTCAAAATGTTAGAGAATATAAACCCTAATTGCGCACTTAATACATTTGACAATTTTATTAAAATATAACATTTGATTACTTTTTACAACATATATAAAATCACTTTCAATTTCGTTAAAGGCATTGGCAGGAAAATCTATACAGAATGTCATCTCTTTTAAACATTGAGACTAACCTTATAAATTATTTCATGTCTCAATTATTCACGTGTACTGAATGATCTGCGAGTACCAATGATTGTTCAAAAAATCAAGCTTGAATTTTCTCTTTGGAATCAAATTAATCTCATGGTTTACACGTTAATTATTTGCCATATGTAGCATAATCAACTGATGGAGCCTTCAAAACACATCTAGATTACACAACACAATAAGATAAAACATTTGAATTTATTCACTGTTAAAAAAAATGTTTTAAAGAAATACAGTAGACAGGGCAATAACTCTTCCTGCGTGTCCCAAACCAGGTGAAGGTTCCGTGGTTTCTACCAGTCAAATACGATTTGTATTTAGGTGAAAACGTTCCACTTCACAGTCCAGAACCACCTGGATTTACCGGTTGTTGAACACGGAGAAGTTTCTTCTCTTTCTGTCGCTGGTTTTGGAACCATATTTTCACCTGAAGAGAAGATCGGATCCTTTGAAAACAAGAACTCTCACACCACAACATTACAACGGATTTGGTTTTTTTTTTGTGTGTGTTCAAATTAATATACCCACCAGTTGGTAATGAGCAGGCACGTTTTTTTTAAAGAGAAAAAAATAATTCTGCAAATCCAATATGAAAGCTTTCTTACCTGCCTTTCCGTTAAGCCTAACTTCAACGAAATGTTTAATCGAATTTCAGGGGTGAGGAACCGATTATTTTCGAATGCCTTTTCCAGTTCGGTGATTTGTAGTTTGCTGTAAGGGATCCGCTTTTTTCTTTGTCTATTTACCTGGTTCTGCGACGTTGACCATTGAGAAGCAAATCCTAATGCTGAGGAAACACAGACATTGATCATATCTTAATTTATCTCGGCTAAAAAAAATGAAATTCACTCCTATCTGTATTTACATACATACATACATACATACATACTTTGTCTCACACATTCAATACGTATTTTATTAAAGAAATAATATCGTTGACTAACTTTTTAGAAAATGTTATTGACAAATGAATCTTCAATTATATTTGATGTGACAGCAAAGACTAATATCAATCGTTTCCAAAGTATTCAAAAAATTGGAGTTTAATGGGATGCGTAATTAATGTAAAAACTTTATCCAGTACCATACTTTACACTATTTTTTCTGAAGACTTACGTTACGTTTCTTTTTTGCGATTAGATCTTTAACATTTTGACAAATATTTGATGTGAATTATGTGGATATTTAATTGTGTTGTACTTTAAAAACAACTGATCGTGTTCAGTAGACTTTGTGAGAACTGTAATTATTTTAGAAAATTATTTACTGGGACTTTTTCTTTACACAAGAATAACAACACTAGTAACTAGAAACAGCAAAAATAAATATCTACGGATATAAAACACAAGCAAAGGTAACAGAAAAAACAAAGGCCCGGATGTTGTCAGACCTACTTAATGAAAATCCTGGAATTATTTCATTTCCGGATACACATTACAAAGATTATTTGAAGTGTTTAACTGATACAGAAACGTAGGAGAATGTTGTTGTCAGACCGACCTAAAGCCCTTGAGACACTGGGCATTGCAGTGTTGAATGCTCCTCCTGAAATAGGTGCTCCATAGTACTGAGAGTGGCTAAAGGCAGACGTGCCCAGACTGTTGTGATCTGTTTGGTTCTGCACAGGTGCAGCCCGGGGATACTCTAAAGGCCAGTGCTGATAAATTTGGGTGCCTGTGGGATATTCACCTCTTGTGCACGGGTTGTGGCGGTGGCTGACAAACGAAGATATATGACTGTCGCTTTGAAACTGGTTTGGAGCGATTCGACCTGCCTCAGGTGACAGAGCAACTATCTCCCGTTCTGCGCCTCCGTACGATCCGCAGGTCGCAATATCTTCGGGGTACAAACCGTGGCACCTGCCACTCGCTGTGGCTTTAAAGGACGGGGGAATCATAGAAGAGGAAAATCCAAAATTAGTAGAAAGTACTGGTATCATCTCCATAGGCCGAATTCCATCCTGGAGTGTCCCGGTTTTATCGCTAGATGTCTCTAATGTCAGCTTGTACTGCAGAGCGGTAGAATCCATCCGACAAGTGAACTAAAATACTCCCGTTTGCTTCTGTCCGCTTTTAAAATAAAACCTGCCTGAAGTTTCTTCTGTCGTTACTTGTCGGCGTAAATTCCTCTTTGTCCCAAGTTTTGAGAAGGAAATGCGTGCACAGGCGCTGAGCAAACAATTCAACCACCTAGAAATGGCGCTGGGCTATCCATTAAGTGTACACACTCACCCTGATCCAAACTACCTGATCTTTTTTATTGCCGTAACTCTACTGCAGTTGGTAAATAGAGCACAGTGTAGACTCTTTGCAAATTAAACTTTGGTGAACAAACGTCAAGGACACGACTGGATTACAGAAGGGCACAGTTGTACTGTAGCTATTATACTCTTTCCCCCAAGGTCAATGCTGGCTTTTGAGTTAATTTCATACCCATTTGCACTTTGAGTTCCTCGTATGACTTTTCTCCGGGTGATTTTAAGTTGCATTTGATTGTTCAGTGCATATATTTACAAACAGGATGTTTTAATTAGACTTCTGTACCAGGAACGCTAATTTGGATAAGAATCGTGAACTGGAAACTGGAATAAACCTTCTTCGTGACATTGTAACTTGCGTCAGACAAAAAGCATTTAAGGCGCTTTTATTGCCTGCTATAACCCTTAATGCTTTAGAATTACACCTCGCGGCACATACATTAGACGATCGAACAAATATTTAGTCTATTGCAGTAAACCTTCTTTGAGCTGGGTAAAGTGAACTACTGCCATGTAATGAAACCTAGTTTAATCTGCCCGTTTACCTTTGTTTTTTACCAGCTTTGTGACTACTCGGTCTAATCAAAGCTTTCCAAAAAGTATTACAGGTAATTAAAGATTGGATGACTGAAAGTTTAGATTTGAAAACGCTACAAATTATTTTCCAGATGAATACGCCTCGCCACCGACTATGTATCAATGGTAGCTTCATTAATCGATATTATGGCAATGTCATAGACTAGAGGACTGATATCATTCTGAAGTTTGAAATCTGTCAGCAATTAATCTTTGACCTTCAACACACCGATTCAATTCATGCAGTACATCGAAACGAGTTTCAGTAGGCTAAATATTAACAAATTTATTGAACCAAAATGTTAAATTCAATCTTCATTTTCCCCTTAGGTGTCAGTCTGAGTCAATTGGTGGCGCTCTCACCTCTGGTTCGGAAGGTTATGAGTTCAAGTCCCACATGGGGACTGTTGAGTGTGCAGACTAGATTGGCATTCCAGCGCAATGTTGGGGGCGGACTGCGTTGATGTGGGTTCAGTAAATTGGATGAAATATTAAACTGAAATCCCATCTGCCTGGTTAGGTCCCATAGCCCTCTTTCAAAAGAGCAGGGAATCTCTCCTACTGCCCTCACCAAACAACCACCCGATTAAAAAATCATTAACTCCATTACCGTTTGTGTAATATGGCAGTATAAAAATTGACTGCCTTTCTGGCCTGCAAATGCACACCGTACAGAAAACTATGATGGACGTTGACAGTATAAGTGCTATATTACATGCACGTATTTTTATTTTATTATTGCATCTGACCATTGGGGGAGAGAATACATTGCTTAAGGTCTACACGTGTGCCTCGTTTGACAATATCACCTTGCGATCACGGATACCTCACTGTGCCGCGGCCAAAACGACACCGTTGAACCACTAAATCGATGTTATTAAGAAATCAAATGTTAAAAACATAATTATGTCTATCCCTCGGGAAAAAAAATGGCCCCGAAACGGTGATGTAAATGAATTCGGTAAATATAGATTCGTTTTACTTTGCGTCTTAAAGTGTTAATTTCGGAAGCCTTGGCTGTTATTGAAATTAATAACTTTGAAGTCATTGTAAAGCCACTACTGGCGTTATAACCAGAGAAAACAGTTGAGGGCGCCAAAGGACAGTTATTTTGAGCAAGTGCAGTTATAACCTCAATTTCTTTCATCTTTGTTACCCAATACCACTCCTCCAAAAAAAAACATTACCGCAATGTTCCACGATCAATTTACTGTATAACGTTCGTTTATTTATTTTTTTTGTCCGTTTCAACCACGGATGATATTATTAAAGATACCTCAATTGGTCACCAGAATCTTTTTTTTTTGAAAAAAAGAAAGACTTGAGTGGCATCTTGTAACATCCGCGTTTGCAGGATTGTGGAATTTTGTAAATCTGTTACCGAGAAGCATTTTAATTTATGGGCGATGTTGGGAAAATGCAAGAGGTTTCGCTGATGCGAAATGTTGGAATGTTTGATTGATAACTACAAGACAACCGGTTTGCCAATACTTATGATCAAGCCATTTTTCGCATTAAATTAGCGTTTCCTTTTGGTCCCAATGATCGCATTTCCTACAACAACAATGTATCGCTGACTATGCTTTGTAAGTCACACTCATTCTTTTATGAGACGACTATAAAATTAAAATAGTTTCTCCAGCATTTTGCAGAAGTCGTGGTGGTAAAATTAATATCCGGAGCGCGACCCAATATGAACAAAACATATTTATAATTGAGGTGAAACTTTTAATATCACCTTTAAAGACGTTTTTCTTACACGCAGCTTTATCAGGGGTATTTGTTTTATCAATTCTACTCCGCATAAATCAATTGATATGTTCTTACAATTTTGTGACCCCCCCCCCCCCATGCATTTCAACATTATTGAAATAGCGAATAGTGTTGGTTATATTTTATCCAAGAACTGAAAATTTCCTAACAAAAGTTGCAACTGTATCTACTGGACAATTTATTTCAGATTATGAACTGGGAAGGAAAGACATTGTTTGGGAATCCCTTTATTATTCATTTTTATAATAAATAATGATCAGCTGTGCTCTAAATCTATCAAACATTATTACTAATACTTGTTGACAATTCACTACTGATAATTTTGTCGCATAAAGGGAATGAATGGCAACGGAAACAGTTTTATTAAAATTACATGATAGCCTCTGTCAATGTATATTTAATATTAATTAAGTGTTTTATGTCACATTATTTTAATCATTTTGGACTCGGTAAGAACTCTTCTGCAAAACCCCATTCAAAAGCCAAATAAAGCTTTAAATTCACATTTCACGCGTTTAGTTGGTTTTTTTTAAAATAAAACAGCTTACACGTTTCGTTTGTGGTTTTCAACTCTTGTTTTGCATTGATTTTGGAAACCCAAAGAACTGCGGCGATGATGACAACAACAGCAAATTCATCATCATTATCATCATCGCCATCAACGTCATCATTACTACCACTATTAACAACACCAAGAGTGTAGCTATCCACACAGCTACACTCCATCTCTCAAATCCTCTCTGGGATATTGAACTTCTAACCAACAGACATTGCTGTGCTTTGCTTTGTATCTGACCTCGGACGTGGCGTAATTTTTTTTAATAGCTACAGGTAACTTTCACTCGGACTAACCTCCTATCTTTTTAAACTGTGGCTTGTTTCTTGCGGTTGGAAAGTTCCAATTGAGGATTAAAATAAAGATGAACCAATTAATTCGAATCGTATACAAATGGGGAGGTTTTTTTTAATGCTTGGAAGAAAAATATGTTTTTATAACTTCTTCTGGTAATAGTCCTAAGACAATGATCACAGTATGTTGATGTGCGCTCAGGAATCAGTCGATAACGTTGAATCCGTAAGATAAACATAGACAGAGGTACAGATACACACAGAGCTCTCTCTCTCTCTCTCTCTTTCTCTCTCACATACACATATAACGGAAACACTCTCAAACCTAAAACAGATTATTATCCGAAACAGAGTTTAATATATATTCGAATCACTCAATAAGGGAAAAGGTTTCAGATATTTTTAAAGAAATAACTTTATTCATTCCATTGAAAAAGACTTCGCTCCTGTGCTAAAAAAAATATGAATCATATTACAAGTTAAAGATGTGTTTTAATGTTATATGCCTCGTAGGTTCATTACAATACGACAAAAGAGAACATAACACAAAAGCCTATTTGTGTTGCACATACATATAAAGATACACAATTGTGTGCACCTCACATAAATAAAGAAATAGGGGAGGGGAACAGGCACTAAAGCTGGAGAGGATAATTATTTTGTATTCATGTGCATACAAGAGAGATACAAGAAGCGATGACAAAGAGAGAGGCTAAGTGGGAAGGTAGAGATAGTTAAAGAGACAAAGAAAATAATAAACGCCACAAAACAGAACGTAAAGTGTGACCGAAGAACACGGTCTGTACATTGACAACAAACGCAAATGTTCCACCCCAACCGACTTAATTAAGCACAACCGAAACAATTAACTCATATGTCTCCAAAAGAAGCAATGGTTTAACTTCACGCTGTCTTATTTACCTACAAAGCTCGCCCTCGAAAAGTAGGACAGGGAAAATGCTATGATCAGAAGCCGATGAGGACAGCAAAACAAAATCAGAACATAATGATCTCGCTAAATGTACAGGGAAATGCTGTAATGCTGGTTTTATTAATCAGACTGTCAATTTCACCCCAGAGGCCAAAACCCAGAGCATCCGGGCATGCAATGATCGGCTGAGGACAGGGGTTGTCCTCCAAGTCTTCTCTACCTGGATGTATTTGCCTGTCGCTAGGCCGCCTTCATCATCCACTGACAGACGCTTGTATTTATTTGCTTATAAACCTGTTACAATAAATGATTATTCGAACAGCGTCATTCGTACCTTAATGACGAGCACTGGTTTGATGAATGACACATCGGGAGAAAGGAAGCACGGGTCATTTTGACCAGTCGTTCCCTCGCATTGGCATTACACTTTTTTTTTTTTCCTTTTTTTTTTGAAAAAAAAACAAGCAGATAATATTTCGAGAGACACTTGGCGGGCTGCATGCGAATTAGCCAAGGCAGCTGCACTCAGATCATCATTAGCGTAGGATCAGTCTGCAACCTGCTCTCCAGCTCCCAAGCATGGAGAGGATCAGGAAGGAAATAATTCTGATGGAACGGGGTCTGCACGGTCCTCCTGGCAAGAGGGTGTCGAATTTGTCAGACTCAGCTGGAAACGTGGAGGAGGCCCTAGAAAATTCTCATCACACTGGTCGTCTCAGCCCCAGATCAACTTCCGCCTCCCTTCACAACACTGTTGGGGACACTCCAACGAACGGGAAATTCGAAATAGACAATTTATTCCACCACCAGCACTCCAACGACAGCACGTCTTCGTCTGAAATTTCGTCCTCGGAAACCAGAAAAAAATTCTCCCTGTACTCGGAACTTGCCGGTCGGGAGAAAGAGGCAGATATGAACAGTGATGTGGACGTGGGCTGTTCGACACTCCGCTCTCCTGTCGGCGTCAATGCAACGCAGCTCAAAGAAAACGCCAACAAAGGTAAATATTTATTCGTGTTAAACCTCGCCGGGGGGGAAAAAAATATTCGGGCGACTTGCCTTTGCGGTGCCGGTGTCGTGTCTGTTGGAAGTGTGGAAAGTACATTTCGTAGTATTTGTGAAGTAAGGTCGTGTTTGTGTTGGCATCAGATATTTCCTGTGCGTTTCTCCACGGATATTTTTTTTTTTCGCGTATGGAAAATATTCTTGGTTTACACCCGGATACAAATAAACTATTAGTGTACATTTTTTTTTCGGAGCAACCGTGTTTATTGCTAGTAAGTATTTTAATTGCCCATAAAGTATCACAGGCCCATCAAAAACCGATGTCTTTCCCCCTTAGAAGTTGAGAAGCAAAACGACTACAGATTTAAATCAAGAATATAGAAATTGTTATTGCGAAGAATAAACACATTTTGTCTAATAATTAATGATGACTTAAAGACACCATCATTGATTTAGAAACGATTTAACTCCTTATTTATATAAAAAGGCAAAACGTATTTAAATATTACGTTTTAGTAATTGTATAAATATTAGCTCGACAATATTATGCAAGTATTCGTTTGAAGTATTCTGGAAAGAAATACAACATTATGACTATCATGACTTATTTATCAAAGCTAAATTGAACTGTACGTTATTTTGCTTTGGGATCTGGATTTTAAGAGGTTTAAAACTCGGCCTTTTGTGTTCAAAAGACATTACCGCTAAAATAACTTCCTGGTTCAGTGGATCACCTTGCTAATGTTTTAAAATATTCTAAAATAAAACATTTAAGTAAGCCAGAATGCTTCTGAAGATGAAACCGACGTGTATGTTATTGATTACATGAACATTCAAATATCTAATGGATGAGCACATCAGAAGCTTTATTTATACATAATTATCCAAACTTACCTCAAATTAACGAGAATTATTTGGTTATGCAGAGACTCATAGAACTTTATTGACTCTATTAACGGTCTCCATTTGTAATAATGACAGCTAGCATTAATTACACGGCATCAAAGCAACGTTATTAATCTGCACCCGTGGCTTACCGATCCTTAATATGTTCCTCTTTATTTTTTAGTGTATTCTGATAACAATGGTTCAACTAATAGTTCATCGAGTGGGTCCAATGTTACGAATCTAAACGGCAACTCCAACTCAATAGGCAGTTCGGGCTCTAGTTCTGACCAGGTGAGAAGGTACCGGACAGCGTTCACCAGAGAACAAATTGGTCGACTGGAGAAAGAGTTTTACAGAGAAAACTATGTCTCCAGACCCAGGCGATGTGAACTGGCAGCCGCTTTAAACCTACCCGAAACTACTATCAAGGTGCATACCATGTTTGACTACTACTGCCCTTATAATCATCTTTGGTAGATAAGTTCATTGTGATTTTTCGATTTGGATGTGTATTTCTGGGGGGTTTTCTGTTGTTGGTCGAAAAAGAAGTATCGACTTTCAATACTCCACGTATTTTGGGTTGAGTTCACATCTTACGTTCCATCAGTGGTTGCGAAGATGTGTGAATTATTAATGTACTCCCGTAATTACTCATCTAACTTTGAAACGACAGTGGGAAGCGAGTAAATATCAAAACGTGGGTAGTTTTAAGTATTTCAACCCCCAAAAAATGTCAGCATTGTTTCAATCTTAATTTGCAAGAGAGAGAGAGAGAGAGAGAGAGAAAACGGGAGAGCAAGTTCATTGCTTTCACGTTTTAAGGGGGTGTGGGGGAGGGGGTGTGTGTTGAATAATCAATAATAATAATAATTGTGGAATAATAATAATACTCATTGCATGTTATTCGGGATTATTAATAACGTGCGTTATAACGAGTGCGTAAATGGAAGAAAATTCAACTGTTTGACGCTGGTACATTTATTTTTCCTTCCCCCCCCCCACCCCTTTTTTTGTTTGTATGTATGTTTTGTGTGTGTGTTGTGTGCGTGTGCGTTGTGTGTTGTGTGTGTGCGTTATGTGTGCGTGTTTTGTGTGTGTGTTGTGTGTGTGCGTTGTATGTTGTGTGCGCTATGTGCGCGTTGTGTGTGTGTGCGCGTTATGTGCGTTGTGTGTGCGTTGTGTGTGTGGTGTGTGCGTGTGGTGTGCGTGCGTTTTGTGTGTGTTGTGTGTGTGCGCGTTGTATGTTGTGTGCGTTATGTGCGTTGTGTGTGTGTGCGTTGTGTGTTGTGTGTGCGTTATGTGCGCTGTGTGTGTTGCGTGTGCGTTGTGTGTGTGTGTTGGGTGTGCGTGGTGTGTGTGGTGTGTGGTGTGTGCGTTGTGTTGTGTGTGTTGTGTGTTGTGTGCGTTGTGTTGTGTGCGTTGTGTGTTGTGTGTGTTGTGTTGTGTTGTGTGTGTGTGTGTTGTGTTGTGTGTTGTGTTGTGTGTGTTGTGTGTTGTGTTGTGTGTGTGTGTGTTGTGTGTTGTGTTGTGTGTGTTGTGTTGTGTGTGTGTGTTGTGCGTTGTGTTGTGTGTGTGTGTGTGTTGTGTTGTGTGTTGTGTTGTGTGTGTGTGTGTTGTGTTGTGTGTGTTGTGTGTGTGTGTGTTGTGTGTTGTGTTGTGTGCGCGTTTGCGACGCTCAGGTCTGGTTCCAGAACCGACGGATGAAAGACAAGCGGCAGCGTCTGGCCATGTCGTGGCCCCACCCGGCGGACCCGAGCTTCTACACCTACATGATGACCCACGCGGCGGCCACCGGCAGTCTGCCGTACCCTTTCCACTCGCACGTGCCGCTGCACTACTACCCGCACGTCGGCGTGACCACCGCCGCCGCCGCGGCCGCCGCCGCCGCCGCCTCGGGCACCGCGCCCTTCCCCACCTCCATCCGCCCGCTCGACACCTTCCGCGCCCTCTCGCACCCGTACTCCCGACCGGAGCTGCTGTGCGGGTTCCGCCACCCGGGCCTCTACCAGTCGCCCCACCACGGCCTGAACAGCAGCGCGGCGGCGGCCGCGGCGGCGGCGGCTGCGGTGGCCGCCTCGACGCCCGGGGGCGGGGGCGGGGGTGGGGTCGGCGGCGGGGGCGGCCCCTGCTCGTGCCTGAATTGCCACAGTAACCAAAGCGCGGCCCTGGGGCCCCGGGGCTCCGGCTCCGACTTCACCTGCACCGCCGCTGCGCAGAGGTCGTCGGAGAGCGGTTTCCTGCCCTACTCGGCGGCGGTGCTCAGCAAATCGGCGGCCGTGTCCCCGCCCGACCCGCGGGAGGAAGCCTCGCTCACCAGATAACTCCTTCGACGGTGGTTCTCTCCTGTGGTGGTGGTGGTGGTGGTGGTGGGGGGGGGAGGGGGAGGAGGGGGGGTGGCAGCCAAATGCAGAACCCCACCCACCCACCCACCCACACCAGACACAGACACACACAGACACGGACCCCCCCCACCCACACACCCACACACACACCCACACACACACACTAAAATGGGAATGTGCTCAATTTCGTCCATTTTCAGTCCATCCACCCAACCCCCCAAGACTCTCCCTCTGATGGAGAGGCATTTCGAACACCACACAGAGAAAGGGAGAGGGAGAGAGACAGAGAGACAGAGAGAGGGGGTTGGGGGGAGGAGGGTATCCTTTTGGTTGGGACCTCTTGGCCAACTCTCTCTCTCTCTCTCTCTCCCACCGCCTCAAATAAATATACCCTTCCTAATGCCCAATTGTCGGGATTAAACTTCTTCCAAGGTTTCCATAAAGTTTCTCGTAAAGTTTGGTTTCAGCAGCAACACCCACCCCCCACCCCCCCATCACCCCCCCCCCCCCCCCCCCCCCCACACACCCCCCCCCCCCCCACACACACACACACCCCCACCCACACACACACACACATCACTTTCTTTTACCAATTTGACAGGAAATTTGACAGTCCAACTCTTTCCATCTTATCGTCCGCCGATATAATCTATTGGAAACCATTGGGGTCTTTTCTCTCTCTCTCTCTCTCTCTCTCTCTCCCCCCGATCAGACCACTGAGACCAAATTCGAAAGACTTGCGTGGAATTGTTTCGAAAGGGTTTCTCGCACTGAAATTGACTCCTCTCTCACACACACACACACACACACACACACACAAACACACAAAAAAAAAGACACCGTCTCTTTTAAAATATTGCATAATACTGTACTGGAAGGTCACTTTGAGAAGATCGCCACTTTATTCGTTTTTTTTTATACGCCACGTATCTTTGTAACAAGACCCCCTTCCTGTGAGTGTGGGCACACACGTGCCTACACTGGCTTGGCCCAGGAGTGCCACCACCGGGTTACTGACGACCGTTCTCTGCCAGAGACAACTCCTGGAGGACTTCGGCAAAGTTCGAGGAAGGCCCATCAGACACCGCCAATGTTATCGCCATGTCAATTCCGATGCTAATAATGTGCAGATTATGACGAAAATTGCCAATCATGTACCTTGATGGACCTCCTTTGAATGTCGAATTGGAAAAAAAAAAGTTCCCTGCGCAGAGACCTGCTGTCAAATACTAACAACCCGCTAAGGGAAGTCATTAGAAGAGATAGATAAGAGAACTCGATACATAAAACATTGTTCACGGTGCACAGAATGTACGGGATTTAATGTGGTATTCGTTATCTGAAGTGATTTTGCAAAAAAAATGCTACGTCCTCATTGTCCCATTGCCAATTTTAATTTTGGAAACCTACACTGTAGACGTCCTACGTCCACTTTCCCTGGTAACTAGTGTGGTACTGATGTGAACAGCCTCATTAAATCAACTCAGAAATTTCCATAATATGCCCCACAGAGCCACTCCAGTCTTCATGTAATGGGATTCTTCTGAAAAACTGAAACTCTCAACTACATTTTTTTTACACTGTGCAAACTTCCCACGGGCTCTTTTTGTCGATCTCTTGTAAATTATTTCCATCGCGTTAAATTAGGTAATGTTTCAGTTCCCCCTTTTTTTTTAACTGATCGCAATAGTCATTCGGGGAGAAGGCGCATTTTGTCATTTCTCAAAAAAAAACGGAGTATGTCACATAAGTGCATGTAAGAGATAGTTGGCAGACGTGTTGTATGTCGGTGGCTGTTTACATTGTACAGTATTAAACGTTAAATCAAAACCAACACGCACTTTTGGAATAAATTTATCTGGAGCAAGAAATTCCTTGGACAAAATTGGTGGTTTTACAGCTGAAATCCAAGGGGTGGGGAAAAAAAAGAGGTAATTAACGAAAATGCAGTTGATTTTGAATTTAGAAGACATGTAACAAAATCGCGTTTTATTCATTTAGAAAACCAATGCCCCCCCTTTTTTTTCAGATTTCCCGCAATACATAACTTTAAACCAAAAAGTCAAAATCACATCAGCAATTGAGACGACCACAGTTATTCTTGTGACTGTTACTCTTTGGCGATTCGCTGAAACGGTGTGTAATTGCTTATTTCAAAATT